TTGGAGATAATGATAGCATTAAGAAGCAGATGTTATTGACATACATGGGAAGCTCAGTGGATCTACTACTACAGTGACAAAATCATTCATTGGAAAACATGAATTGGAGAGGAAAAGGCGAGAGATTAGTGTAAGCCATCCCATGGAAGCCATCATGGAGAGAGATGCCAGGGTTTTGTTTTGTTTTTTTCCCCTGGCAATTTGCTTTTCTTTTTTGTGCCTCGAACAGCTGCCCCATGGGAAGAAATTTAGTGGGGAAACTTTGCTTGGTGTGAAAATTATATAATTAGGAAGCTTCTTCTGGCCAGGTATAGCTGCTAAAGGCATAGTGACCTAGTCAACAGAAATAAACTGACAGCTCTAATTATGTAAATTATATTTAATTTTTTAATATTTTGGTGTCCTTATTGTAAAGGTGCTTGGGACTCAGGCCCAGTACGCTGTTTGAGAGGGGAAAAAGCTGATTTCTATGCTGGAATTAAACAATATTGGAATGATAACTCTTGAACACCTAGATGGGGGTTGCCAGCTTCAGACATGCTCTGGGTTTCTTTCTTTTTAATTGCATTTTCAGACAGAGGCTCTGCAAGTGAAGCCTTTCTGATCAAAGAACACAGGCTCTTTAACCAGCTAGCAGTGACAGGAGCAGCCATGAAGTCTGCTGAGCCTTTCTCTGCCATGAATCTGTTAAAACACACATAAGTCTCTTTCATTCCATGAGTTGGCAACCTTTTTTCTCCTGAACACATGCAGCATTTAGAATTTAGTGTCTTAGCTGATTTGCAGCACAAGCACGAAATAAAATCTATTATATAGGATGGGATTTGCAAGAAAGAGATCTCAGGGATTTCTTTTATTTTTTTCTTGCTTTTTTAAAAAATCAGCTTTCAAGCTGCATGATTGTAAAAAGAAGCATGCATGTTTACTGATGCCTAGAAACCAAAGGGACTGTTCGAGATCCTTGGAACAAGACACTGAATGGAGGAATTGGCCAGCACAAGTAACTTGTAGCTTTTGTTTTCTGCACTTGTTCACATATTCTTCAAAATTCTGCACATAACAATAGGAATGCTCATTTTATGCTTGTGACATGCCATTCCTGAAACCAGGAGTGGTCACTGTCTGGGCACTCTAGTCCTCTTTTAAGTCTGCTGAACACCTTGAAATGCCTACCTTTCTGGTGTTTGAGAGATCAAACACCAGAAATAAATCCTTCACATCACCACCTGAAAGACATGCTTTTTTGTGGAAGTATCTGTCAAATTTATCAGCAAGTCAGCATATGTGAACCGAGCCTGAAAGAAGCAGTGATGTATAGTATTAATATTTTATAGAATTACATTATGGGATAAAATTCCATAGTGCAAGATTTCTAGTGAGGCAAACAAAGAGTTGCTTCAATGCCTCTGAGGGAATATTATTGCAACATGTTTCTTTCTCAAGAGGCTCGCTGCCTGTCCTTTCTCTCGACTGCTACTAGGACAATGAAATTCAAGCTTTCAGGTTCTAGCAGTGTGTAAGAACTTGAAGATTAATTCCTTTCAGACGAAATAGGTGGGGCCCATATGTCGGCCTTCAAGAAGCCTCTTCTTACAAATCACTCTGACCATGAAGCCCCGGCAGGCTGCTGCTTTGCACTCACAGCTGTTTATCACACTTCTTCGAAGGACCGTTGAGAATTAACTCTTCTGGTTGTTGTGCGCATCTGTTGTCTCTTCTGTACCTTGAGTATAATGCACTTTAAATCACTGTGCCTCTCTGAGGAGCCACGGCCTGGCCTCACCGTTGCAAGATAAAAGGCACATTCTTAAGAATTCATGAATTGATGTGCCAAAAAACAGGCATCCTCTTGCTAAACACTGATGCCTTGGAGAATCTTTTTTAAACCATTCAGGAGCAGCAGTAAATTTGCTTGATCAGATTTTAAAAGTGCTCTGGGAACATAAGTGAATCCTGCAATTGCATTGTATCACGACTTTTATAGACTCCAGAATAATAATAAAAAAAGGTTTTTAAGTAACGTGGGCTTCCATGCTTTGTTGATAGCGGCCTTACTGTGAATTAATAAAATTCAATTATTTTATAAATACAGCGAGACTCTCTGATTAAGCAATAAGTGTACATGCCTTTGCTGTGCAGGGTCTGCACCTATTTCCTAAGGCTAAGCTTGTTTCACAGAAAAAAACCTCACATTTCTTTGCCACTCTGCACAGGGTTATGGAAGTGTCACAGACATCTTTGGCTATTTACTTTTCTGATGTGAGCAAATACAAAGTGTACAGAATATCAGGAAAATGGTAGGATCAGCTTTATCAGTTGGAAAGACCTGTCAAAAAAAGCTGTGGTACAGGGAGGAGCTATTTTCTTAACATTACTTGTGAAAGCATCATTAGATGATGTAATATCCCTTCCAGTACTGAACAGGTGGTTGAATGTTTTATCAGTCTGGAAGTGAAACAGCACCACCCAAAAATAAGAGAACATTTCAGCATACTCTGAGGGATCCTTATTTGCATGAAAAGTATGACTTTGTGAATTAAAAGGGATTAAAAACTAAACAAAATGCTTATGACTTGACAAGAGTGTGCAAGCTTCCAGGCTTAACAGAATTGAGTATTGAGATAAGAAAATTTTAGAGAAACTCATCTTAATGTGGAGAGGGAGCCTCCTGGTTCACATTGGAATTACTGTCTGCTGCCCTCTTTTGTTGCAAGGTTTTTGTTGCACCCTATCACCACTGGCGGCAATTCTGAATATTTCCATCGCTTGTATTGGAAGCAGCTTCCATGTCTGTCCTAGGGGCAAAGCAAAGGTCTAAAGGAACTAGAAGTTTGGCAGGCTCTGTGAATTTCTAAATGTAGTCCATGGTGGAGAGCAGTTGAGACACAGGATGTTAGTCTGTCATTTGAGGGAACAGGAGAAACAAATGGAAAACAAGAGACAGGGGAAAAAAGGCTCATTTCAGTCCATAGCAGCTTCCAGTGAATAAGCTGGACAGCTGAGTGCAGCACGTGGAGGGGTTAAAACTTTCATCTTCCTGTGCTGTACAGTGATGCTTCAGGAGAAAGGAAAGGGAAATGGGCACCTGTCCAGCTATGTAACAATAACATATTTACCCCGAGAACTCATTGCCACCCCCAAACTTGAGCCCTCTAGTACCATAAGCCCTAAAACCTTAGTAGAAAGGTGGGGTGTGAAGCAAGAAAAATAAACAGCAAATAGTTGAATAAAAGCAGGCATATAGCACTTTTTTCTTGCTATGGGCCATAAATTGCCTCCCAAATCTTCCTGGAGTTATAATCTGGGATTCCATTAGAATGCATGTAGAAATAGGACTGAGAGATACCATTTGATTTTTCTTGTCTCTCCGTCATTAATATCGTGAGAACAATAGTTTCCTCTGTCAAGGGTATAATAAGCATATCTTTGATATATTTGCTCAGGTCAATGTTACCTTGACGTGCTGTAAGGGAAATGAATATTTCCTCTCAAGAGAGATTAGCAGTGAGACTGATTCTTCCTATGGAGAAGGCAGGTCTGTGCGCAAAGTGGCGTAGGAGTGCCCGTCTTGCAAGCGGCAGGGATGGGGAGCAGGCAGTGATCTCCCCACTTTGTGGCTCCCAGTGGACCGTTTCCAACTCAAGGCCTGCAGAAAAGGGCGTGAGCAGGTGAAGCAGCTGCCAACCAGGCACTGCCGCCCAGTTGACTTTCTCTGACACAGGAGGGGCCTTCCTCAGGCACGCGTGTGGGGCAGCAGCGGAGAACTAGCTGAGTGATGCTGCTGCTTTCCATGGCGTCCCCACCTGATTGCCCCCTTTGTAGCAGCAGGTGGGTGAAACAGGTATGCCTCTGATAGCTGTGCAGAAGAGCAGCTATCAATGGCACTCATAGGCCCAACCGCCTGCTATTGCAGCACCATCCCATTTAGATGACTGTCCAAACACTTTTGGAATGTCTCCAGCAAGGGAGGGCCCACAACTTACCTATATAATAGGTTCCATTGTTGTACTGCTCTCAGAACGAATTCTTCCTGGTGTCTAGTCGAAATCTGGTTTCTTTATTATTCCATTATTCTGCACTCTGGAAGGAACAAGAAGAAATCTTGCCCTTCCTCTTTGTGACAGCCTTTCTGTGGCTAGCTACTTGGCAAGAGTGTCTCCTTAATGGGTTGTGTTTTCCAAGTTCAGACAACACAAGACATCACATTATGGAGAACCCACAGAACAGACTGCTGTTTCTGTGGCTGTTTCTGTTTGTGGTTTCTGAAGCTCAGCCCTCCCATGCTGAAAACCATGATGGGGTTCAGACAACACACCAGATCTACAATGGTGAAACACCATGGTGGCTTGTCATGTTGTGTGAACCCAACCACTATGAGCAGTCATAGTAAATCCTTCTCAGGACTATCTTAACCCTGTTACCCTGTAGTTATGTGAACCTTGACTGGCCTGGTTCTGTATATGCTTATGCAGAAGAAATCCTCCTACCTATCATAGGAACATGGGTGGCTCAATGGGTTAATCCACTGAGCTGCTGTGCTGTTGATCAGAAGATCGGCAGTTCAAATCCACACAGTTGCGTGAATGCCCACTTGCCTGCCTATCAGTTCAAAAGCAAATGCGAGTAGATAAATAGGCACCACTTCAGTGGGAAAGGTACCAGTGTTCATGTGCCTCGGCATTTAGTCATGCTGGCCACGTGGCCATGGAAGCGTCTTTGTACAACACTGGCTCTTCAGCTTACAAACAGAGATGAACAGAGGCCCCAGAGACAAACACAACTAGCACACACGTGCAGGGGAACGTTTACCTTTACCTTAGCTTTATGTATTGTAGCCTGAAGCTGTAATCTAATCCATAGTTACAGCATGTTTAAAACCCACTGATTTTGATGGGGCACACTTAATTGCATGTTGTCTAATTTTCTTCCATTAATTTTGAATCTCTCTTCAACTTTATGAATTTGGGTCTCTAACATCGCCTTGTTTTCCTCGAGTTTAGTGGTAAGCCTGAACGCCTGGAGCCATGACGACTCACGTGACACTAGAGGATGCCCTCTCCAATGTGGATCTGCTGGAGGAGCTGCCACTGCCTGATCAGCAGCCATGCATCGAGCCACCTCCATCATCGATCATGTACCAGGTCAGCAGCTGCTGCTTTGAAATCATGTCCCAGAAGGACTGCGCGGCTCATTTCTACAATTCTTGGTGTATTGAAGCAAAGTAGGAAACAATGTTATTTGACAAAAATGCAGGAGAATGAGTACGAAGTGGATGGGAAGTTGAATGGGAGAAGAAACTGCATTCTACATGTTTTTGTAAGCTGTCTGGGGAGCTTTGCCTGTTCAGCAGTATAGAAATGACGATGATGAGGGTGGTGGTGGTGATGACAATGAAGATGATGACGACAACAGGGACAGCAGTGGCACAACTCCCATCAGCCCAACCTGCATAGCCATGGAGTGATTGGGGAAATGTAGTCCCAAACAGATGGGAGGCACTAAGTTGACTGCCCCTGGCCTTGATGGTGCGGAAGGTGAGGGGAGAACGAAACAGGACAAAGATTAGGCCAGGTGTTGTTGTGAATGTTATGTACCCAGTTTATCCAGTGGTGAGTGGAGCCAGCAGGTATATAACAATCTGAGAACTCGTTCTAAATTTGCACTATAAATGGTGTTAAATGTCATTTCTCTATTTCTTCTTAGGCCAATTTTGACACCAATTTTGAAGACAGGAACGCTTTTGTAACTGGCATTGCCAGGTATATAGAACAAGCTACCGTGCACTCAAGCATGGTAAGTTTTGCCAGTGACGCATGGCCCACTTCTCTCTATGGGATCTGATGTAGCAGTTGCTGAACGTGCAACTGGTTTTCTTTGCTGCCTGACATTGCCGTTCTGCTACCAAGTGTGTCTGTGTTTCAGAATGAAATGCTGGAGGAAGGGCATGAATACGCAGTGATGCTTTATACCTGGAGAAGCTGTTCCAGGGCCATTCCCCAGGTAAGATAAGCGGTTGGACACTAACCGACTCACTTAGCCCAGAACTCAGGCTGAGCACTTGGAGTGGGGTTCTGATTGGGTCCTGGGGTGTTGCTGAGGATGCGTCAGGCTTTCCTTCCTCTCCCTAGCAGAAACTCCATGGTTCTGGCAGGGCTCCTAAATGTGTCTCTGGCATTGTGTTGGCTAGGGATCTGTTACTGAATGAAGAATTTGCAAGCTTCTGTTCCCTGAAACCCCAAGGTTCTCTCAAGATGCCTGCTGTGTCTCTACTGTGTATGGTTAATTTCAGCATATTAAAAACAGTCAGCAATAGAATATTGTGAAAAGAAAGCCTGGATTTTATCAGCAGAAGCGCCAAGTATCATATAGGTCTTATGAAGTAATATTGTATGCAGCACTGTTAAAGATGCTTCTTAGGCTGCTTGCTTAACTTTTGACTGGTGGGGTTTCAGGAGGGAAAAGTCATTGACAAAGGAGGAGCAGCAAAGATAATAAAAGACCTGCTATGCAAATTGCTTTTACATGGATGAATGGATCTGCTCAGTCTAGGGGAAGAGAGAGAGAGAGAGAGAGAGTGTGTGTGTGTGTGTGCGCGCACGCGCGCGCGCGCAAGCAATGTGGGATATTTGAGAGAGGCCAACAAATAGGAGACTCAACTGCAACAGCATTGGATGAAACCAAGTTTTTTCTAAGGCTGAGGACTTATCTTGGGTAAATATATATGTTTATGCTGTTTGTGTAAGTCTAGCAATGAAACAAGATGCCAGCTGTGGAATCTCCATTGCTGGAAAAATGCAGTATTTATAGATCCTTTCCCCGAAGTGTTCAAAGCTCTTACTAATCCTTATAGCAACCCTGCAAAGCAAGCTGGTAATTTATACCCATGCTACATTTGAGGGAGACTGAAACACAAAGGTTGTGGCTTACTTAAGGCAACCCTGTGGGGCCATCGCTGAAGTGAAATTTGAATCGGGGACATTCTGGCTCCTGTCTTAATCACAATAGTACTGCAGCTTTGTACCAGATGTCCCCTGTATTCACTTTCAGCTCTGTGTTTTTGATGCTTTGTCAGGATTGATTCTACTAGGGTTTCATTGATAATTTCAGTATATTTTCTGTTTTGCACACAAATGATCCTTCTTTCCTGACCTTTCCTACATTGATAGTCCTATTAATATTTGAAGAACTTCAGCGATTTTCAGTAGAGGTTTTCCTTCATTTTGTAAGCAGAATTGCTACCATGTTCCAGTTTCAACTTCTTGTGATAAAAATCTTTTCCAGAGTGAAGTCAATACTGGGTTTTTGCACATAAAGCCCTGGAAACTTTATAATCCAGCAGGCAGTTCTGGTACTGGTGTGCTTTGAATGGGGATAAAAATGCAATTCCCCTTAGGGTTATGTTTTGCTATTAGTCTCATGTGCTCATGCTGCCTTAGCCTTTATGACTCACAACTAAATGCTTGCTTGCTCCTCATGAATTTTTGATCTTACACTCTAGTTTTGTCCTTTGATCATTGAAGCATATTATAATGGAGACCAATTTAAATGACTGTTGAAATATATTGGAGAAGGGAAAGGTTGGATGATACTGAAAATAGGTCCAAACTTAAAACCTAGGGAGTCTGGGGTTGATGCAATCACTTCCCGCTTTTGCAAACAGAGATCTTCTCACACTCTTGCTTTGGACTTGACAGCTTGTCATTGAGAACTTCCATATGAAAGCATAGTAATTACGGCAGGCACTTACTAGCACCTTGATCAGGAAAGACTTCAAATAACAGGTAGTCAGAGCTGCACATTTCTGCAGTTCTGAGCTGTTGACCAAAGCAATTAAAAGAAAATAATGAAAATGTGCGTGCATTTCTGGTGGGGAAAAAAAAAAAAGTACCACACCAGTGGTGCCTATATCAGCGTTCTGCATGGGCACTGTTAGCAGCTGTCACTGTGAAGGTTGCAGAAAGTGATCTCTGGAAAAACTTGAGAGAGAAACCAGATCGCAATAAAAAGCTTGACAGAACAGAAAAATATATGTTGGGTTTCCTTAAAATCCACAAGGGAGGGAGCCAAGTGGAGTTCTCCATGGAGGAAAATCCACAGGTGTCAAGCCATGGAGGAAAAGGCCACATCCATGTTACCTGTCAATTGAATAGTCTTCAGTGGTGTGCTAGAAACTAGGGCCTTTAAGAAAAATCTTTGGGGTTTACAGGTTCATATGGGTATAGGCAATCCTACTGCTCCCCAGAATCCACAAGGCACACCAGCAAATCCATCTACTACTCTATTCCATTAATATATGCAAAACAGAAAAAGGTACACCATTTTCTAATAATTTGTTTTTATGAAATGGTATATGTTTCTTTTGTTGAAGGAAACTGATTTGGAAATAATTACTCTTTTATTGCAAATGTTTTGAAAAAATATTTTCTTGAAAATGAAATTTCTAGTAAATTACAAAACTCAATAGGATATGACAATTCTAATGCATATACTTGGTTGCAGTCCATGGAAGTGTATTATGTAATCAAATCTGTTAATCTTTAAGTCCACATATACCTTTGCTTTTTTCTGCAACAATCAGAGCTTATCTTTCTAGAAACCATCTGTCTCTGTAGCCTACTTTATTATTGATTTTCTGAATTATGTTGTTGGTTTAAAAAGAGACTCCTATTTGCCTATTAGGATTTCTAATGATAATGGCTTGCTGTTGACCTTCAGGTAAAGTGCAATGAACAGCCAAATCGGGTTGAAATTTATGAGAAAACAGTGGAAGTCTTGGAGCCAGAGGTCACGAAGCTTATGAAATTCATGTATTTTCAGGTAGGTGTTAAGTAAGCCCAAATTCCATGTGTTTCAGTCATCACTGAGGCCAAGCTTGGTAGTGTAGAGAGTATAGTTGAAAATGCTCTTAGGGATATACCAGAGCTAACTCACTTTGCAGCAATATACCTACCTCAGATTTGGTGCCTTTGCCAACACCTAGTATGATTCTTCTCATGGGAAATGCAGCATGATAGTAACTGGATAGTCAGGACATGCTTAGCTGCCAGGGGAGGGAGCTTGGCGTGTTGTGTGAAGCCCCTGGCTTCACCAAGCATGGTTTCTAAGCCATAAACCATTCCAAGTAGCCACATCATGTAGAGTTTAGGAAGTTCCCTGTGGCCTGGGGTGTCAACCCTGTGCTAAGCCTGAGCCAAGTGAAAAAAATCTAAGTCTCTTGGCAAGGACGGCAAAGAAGAGGGACTCCGGTCACCCCATGCCGCCACCTCCTTGGGCTCTGCTTTGGGCCTAAGACAGGGATGGGCTTGTGGCTGCGGAAGGGCCCACTTGGCTTTGCTTGCTGGAAAGGAAGCAGCCAATCAGGCCTTTCCCAGCTCCCCCTGACAAAACTCAGGTTGCTCAGTGCCATCTGTGGGAAGGTTGGGGGGCGGCAGGAAGACACATCTCAACCCAGCTCCTACTCATGAGGCAGGTTGGGAGGGGTTGATTCTGCCTGGCAGCTGAGGCAGCCGGAAGAGGCGCACAGGCTGCCTTTCAACGGCCTTTGAAGCCTCATGTTAAGCGGCTCATGAGCCCCCGCTCCGGCGCCCAGCACTGGGCTCCCACAGGTGCTGCGGGACTTGGATTGCTCATGAGCAGTGCTGCTCTTCTGGTGTTGGAGGAGCTCTGGACAGGGAAGCAGGCGACAGCTGCCAAAAGCGCCCCCGGTCGTCTGCTGTCATCCTGCTCCCTGCAGTGCTCCGACACAGTGGCCCTGGGATGCCAGTCGGAAGACCGGGGCAGGGTGAGTCTGTGGACCCCAACTGTGCCTCATCATCAGTTTGGCACAGCTGCTACTCCCCCCCCCCCCCCCCCCCCCCGTGCAGTGGCTTAAAGGATCATCTAAACCTGGCCATTGCGCACCGAGAGCAAGCTGTGAGGAGTGGCACGACCGCAGTCCTGCACATTGTTAGCTGAGGCCTCGCCTTGTTGAAGGAAATGGTGCTTCTGACTGCCTGTGTTCATCTTGCAGAGTGTGAGCTTCTGAAATGTAACTTTTTTAGGTTTTAAATAGAAGTACAAATATTCTTGCAAATAAGTATTACCATCCAAATTGCTAAAGTGAAATAGGAACTCCATCACATCAAATGCAAGTATCCAGGTGGGATACTCTGCAGCATCTCCTTAACTAGTTCCCTGATTCCCCGTGTATGAAAATATGTCAAATGATAGAGGAAAGCCCTGTTACCACCTCATTCACTAGCCGGAGCATATAATCCTGCCCTCTGGCATGTGATGTGCTCTTGCTTGGGTAAAACTTCTGGAGCTGCACTTCCCCATGCTCCCTCCTTCTCCACCACACCACTGTATATCATCCATAGGGTTGTCCCATTTGAATGTAGCTGGCCTACTTTCTCTTTGCTAGCAAAATGTACACTTGATGTTTTCAAAACTGGCTGGCAAACGAGTTGCATGGCAATGCAGGCCAGCTTTCCTTCCCCTAATCTGATCTGTGCTGGCCTTATGTTTTCAAAGCACAAAATATAGTCCCAGTGAGAAGAGACAAACCCCAATGGTGAGAGTGTTAATAGGACTGAATATAAGTAAGCTAAATGTATCAGTAGAGAGACTTTAAATTTAACAGCAATCATAGTGTGGTTTGCCCAGAGTGCATAAACAAGGGTTACCAAATAAAGTACCACTGTTGTGGTTATGTTTGGCAGCCATTTTGTTCTTCACATATGTCATATGCACCCCTAACCACTAAAATATGGGTTGATTTGTTTGCTTTTTCTATTTGAGAACGATTATCTGTCAGACTCTCTGAAAAATTGTTTTGAGACCTGTAATTTCTACCTGAAATGTTTAGAAAGAAAGCACAAGAGAACATGGACTTAAAAGACTCCCTTGCTAATTGTGTCATATTGGTTGAAGTGTTGGCCTGGGACGTGGGCGATCTAGTTTCCACTCAGCCATGACACTTACTGGGTGACTTTGGGATAATTACAGACTCTCAGCCCAACCTTCCTCGCAGGATTGTTGTTGTGAGAATATAATGGAGAGGAGGAGAACCTTGTAGGTCACCTTGGGTCCCATGCAAGAAGATGGCAGATTATAAATGTAGTAATAATAATAATAATAATAATAATAATAATAATAATAATAATTCTGTTGTTACTTGCAACACACACAGAGACTTTCCTTCCAGCAGTTCTTATTTCAAGAGTGAACCACAGTGTTGAGTAAATAGGCCCTATTAATAGGTTTTTGCTATTCGAATTTTCCAAAGGGAGAAACCTTAAGAGACCATGTTTTAAGGGATTCATTTCAGCATTCTTTGGCTATTGTGATGAATGAGAATATGGTAATATCAAGGTTGGCAAAGGGGATCACAAGATTCTGATCAGAACCAATTATTCCAAGAAGAGCTTGCTAAAAGCTTTCTGCTTTTACCCAGTCTCTGAATTAACAGTCTCTTGCTGTCTTTCAGAGAAAGGCTATTGAACGATTCTGTAGTGAGGTGAAACGTTTGTGCCATGCTGAAAGAAGGAAAGACTTTGTTTCTGAAGCTTATCTACTGACACTGGGAAAGTTTATCAACATGTTTGCTGTCCTAGATGAACTGAAAAACATGAAGTGTAGCGTAAAAAATGACCACTCTGCCTACAAAAGGTGAGATTAGTGAAGAATCCTTTGAATTCTACCATTACGAGAGGGAATTTTTTGGGGACCCTTGAAATAATGGCTTGCATTCTTCCTGACATGGATGACTGTATTTAGCAGTAAAAGAGGTGTTTCTAAATCCTGGTGCTCTAGCATTATATTTACACTGAAGCAGAGATAATAAACTGGCATTCTTGTGTTTACTCTGTGGCAAGGACTCCTTTTATAAATCCCTGTTATATAGACAAAAGCTAGCATAATATACCGAAATACCATTGACTTCTGTTGACTTTCAGAGCAGCCCAGTTTTTGAGGAAAATGGCTGACCCCCAGTCTATCCAGGAATCACAGAACCTTTCCATGTTTCTAGCAAATCATAACAGGATCACACAGGTAAGGTACTTTTCACTGGTTATCTTGTTTCATGCTCAGCCAAGTGACTTTGCTTTGCTCTGTGAACACTTCAGCCCTGTGATTAGGACATTGATGACCCCTTTGCAGCCCATTAGAACTATTTGGCAGAGCAAAGATTGCTGTTCTTCATTGCTCTATGATTTGGGCCATTGGGTCTTCTGAAATACAAGCGGTCTCCTTATGGGGTGTTCACCTTGCCAGTTTATGAATCATTGAGGGCACAGGAAGGGAGCGCTGCTGGCATACTTACAACCATACTCCATGCAGCCCTTGCAGTTGGCATGCTAGCTTAAGAATTATATTTTGCCAGCTATCAAATACTGTAGAAGGAGCGAGAGATTCAGTCTCCTTTCAAAGAACTGCAGCGTTGAGCTGAAATGTTTTTATTCTGTGCAATGGATCAGAATTCGCAATGGAAATGTCCTGGGCAATACATATCTAAAGTAACTTCATGCCTGTTATTTGGTAGGAATTAAAGCTTCACGTTGTTTCAACGCTTTTCTTTTTGTTCGTACTTAATTTTTTGAGGAATTTGTGGCTTGTTGTTTTTAAGTGCCTGCATCAGCAGCTGGAAGTCATCCCTGGTTATGAGGAGCTGTTGGCGGACATTGTCAATATCTGTGTGGATTACTATGAAAATAAGATGTACTTGACACCCAGTGAGAAGCACATGCTCTTAAAGGTAATGCCTCCAACTCTTGGCAAGGCTGTGTTATCTGCCTCACTGAATTTCCACCTTACTTTGCAATTTCTTGCTTCAAAATAAATGCTTTCCTGGTTCCTGAATTAATTTTTTCTTGCAATTTTCGTCTTTCTTTCCTACTGTATCAGACTTAATGCTTCTTTTCTCTGAAGAGACAGCCTCTTATTTCCAAACATAGGTGCTTAGATATAAGGGGCACTAAGTCGTCTGCAAAGTCAGGTTGATACCTCTTCTTTCAATATCTTGCATTTAACTAGGAAAGGGATGGAAGTTGCTTCACTCCTTTGTGCCTTCTCTTGTGGGTTCATACATCGTGTTTACAGTGCATATGCGACAACCTATGGACTAGAGCTGCCGAAGTCTTTAATTTGCTTGGTAGAGGGAAAGCTGCCACATTTTCCTCCAGTTCCTCATGACTTGCTTTGCCATTATGCGGAAACCATCTTCTTCACAAAGACCAGACCTGGCTAGGGGAGAAGTCAGACTTCAGTAGCGGGACATGTGCCTTGCATGCAGGAAGCTTCAGGTCCATTATCCAGAATCTCCTGTTAAAAGGATCTCTCTGTGCCAGAGACCCTGCAGGCTGGTGCCAGTCAGGGTAGGCGATATAGGAGTGAATGAGCAAATAGTCTGACTTGGTATAAGAGACTACTGGTGAATTTCAGGAGAAAAATTAAATTGACCAGTCATAAATTAACAAACCTAACCGTGGTCTTAGATTACTTTCTTCTTCTAATTTTCCCACACGTAACATTGTTCACATAGGATGCTCTTTTATCCCGCTGAACAATATCTTGTTTTCCTTCTAGGTGATGGGTTTTGGTCTCTATCTGATGGATGGAAATGTCAGCAACATTTACAAACTAGATGCCAAGAAGAGAATCAACCTCAGTAAAATTGATAAATTCTTTAAGGTCAGTGTCTGGCATTGCTTTGCCTTGGACTTATTTCCAGAGGAAACAGTTTGGGAACTGGCTAGGAATAAAGTAAGCAAGCATAATACTTGCAAGATTGGCCTGCTGGCATCAAACATATTATGCAAATATCTGGCACTACAATACTGTGATATCTGAATGTTTCGGCAGATGCTGTATTCTGGATGCGAGTCAGCACTTGCTAAAGATGCAACCTCATCCTGCCTCAAGATGGGGCCTTCCTTCCCATTTCCATCACTGTGATGCTTCTGTTCCTGGTACCTGTTTTTGCAGGCTGAGTGCTTATGGCCCTGTTCCATGTTTACAGTGTAGCTACAAAATTGGCTTGTCCCCGGGCCCGGTGAGGCTAAAGGTCAGCTGCAGTTACGCTCAGGTAGATTTTGTGTTGTCCCCATGTTGCATTCAGGCTATGTGCTGGCATACTGAAAACCCATTCCCGAGCCTGTTCTGCGTCATCAACAGCATCTTCATTGGGAAGTATTGTTGCTCAGTGCTAAAGCACATGTTTTACATGCAAAAGTCCCAGGTTCAGTCCTTTGCGCCTTGAGGCAGGGATGGGAAAGATTTCAGTATAAAGTGGAGAGCCACTGCTCATCAGTGTTGACAATACTGAGCTGAGACGTAAGTGCTCCCTTGTGTTATTTCTTTATTTATTTATTTGCAGTATTGCTAGAGCACTCCGCATCCAAAGAGATCCCAGAGTGGCGAACACTATCAAGTTAAAGTTTTTTTTTAAAGTACTTCAAAAACAGTTTTAAAATATTAAGAGCATGGCTGGTCAACAAGAAAGGGCTTCCCGGAATGAGATTGGCTCATGTAGACACTGAAAACAGGAGAATGCCGGTGCCTGCCTACCTCCTGAGGCAGGAATCCCATAGAAATGGGGCCTCTCTGCTAAAGGCCCTTCTCCTGGTGGACCCCAGTTGAACTAGGGGTCCATGTGAAACCAACAAAGCTTTAGCAGCCCGAATTTAATACCTTTGCTCGGAATATTTGAACACTTTTTCCATGTCAGATATTTCTCATCAGATGAATGTGCAGCAAAGTTTCACCTGCTCAGTCAGAACTGAGAGAGATACTGTGGCAAAGTTAATGAGGCAGGCGGGAGCTATGAAATAAATTCACTGCTTCAGGCATTCTGCATTGCTGGAGCCTCCTGAATAGCCCTAGTGACTACTTGTAATATTCTTGGTAACCTGGATCTAGGAACTGAAGAGCTGTTCATGTGTTACAGTGAAGCTTTCATAATGGGTTTTTCTGTGGTGAAGATAAGTGTGTGGAGAGGAATCACATGTGTGAAAAAGTGGCAACCATGACCATGTACTAGTTCTGTTTACCAGGTATTTCCAGAGATAGGTGTTCCTGCCATACCTTGTAGCACTTACCACTGAAACACAAATGGAGACTTGACTTACTCAAAATGAATGTAGGTGTTTTAGACCTGGTTTAATGCTATATTTATTTCCATTTTAAATGAAGCTGCTGAAATGAAGTATGGACATTGCAAGTAGCTGGGACTTGTTTTGTCTGTTAATTGAAACCTGTGGCACGCCTGCTCTTTGGATGCTTTCTTTGTACAACATTCAAGTCATCTAAGTATTAAATGAGTTAATTCTGCATCAACTCTCTGATTTTTCCTGAAACTCAGATCATGAATGTATTTTTAAAAGTATGAGGGGTCTTCAAAAAGTTTCCACATTTTATATTTTGTACTTTATAAATATATTTCATATATGTTTTGCTGATGTCATTAAAAGTTGGTACAATGATGGGGAAAATGCTTTGCAAAGAAAGGTGACTATATAGAAAACTGATCTAATTTGTTTTTGAAATTCTTAATAAATAGAGTTTTTAAAAGTGCAGGAACTTTTTGAAGACCCCTTGTATTTATTCAGGGCTGGAACTATAGTATCATTTGCAAGCACTGCTGTGATTCCACCTGCTTCTGTTGTTTCCATTTTGATGCAGTCTTCTTCCCCATCAAGTTAAGATATGAGGGGCATGAATCTATATTATTAATGTATAGGTCAGTTCCATGTATTTCAGCATGGCATGCGTAACTAAGTACAATACTATTATCTAGATCATTTCTCAATGAGAAAACAAAGCAGTTCTTAAAAGTAAATGCAGCAAAGAACAAAGAAGAAACTCCTTATGGGGTTAACAGCTAGAACTGATTCTCTGTCAGGTGCAGTTTATAAGATACCTTAATTGCTTAGTTCCTTTATGTTACAGCCTCTTGTGGTCCTATTTTTTTCGATCTTTCCAGCTCATTCTCAGGCTTCAGACAGTTTTTAAAACTGTCTGGTTTAAAACTGTGGTTAAAAAATCCCCTGTTCTGACAGTTGATTAAAAGAGAGAGCAAATAGTAACATGTAACAACTTACCATTTTTGCCCTGTTGCCTACCCTTTTAAAAGCCAACCAGAGCCAAGTGTTGCACTATTTCCTGTTAATATTCAGGCTCAGACTTTAGTGTATTATGATGCATTCTGTAAATATTTTTACATCCAAACACTTAATGAGTCCTTAAACCTAAAGTTGATTAGAAGGCTTGCCAGATACAGAACCCCAATTTACAATGCTGCAAAGACAGTAGAAGCCACACCTGCTGGAAATTACATGCTTTTAAAAACCACAAGAGGCCTTCAGGATTTAAGCTAGGCACCCTTGCATATGTTTCTTTATATTAACACAAGAACAAAAGATGTTGCATATTTTCCATTGATGGTAGGTTGCTGTCCATTCCCTTGGTCTCTTTCATAAAACATTTGCACAGCATTTTCCCCCACAATGCATTTGGAGTGCTGCCACATCTTGATGCAGCTTTGTTTCAGCTGAAACATTGCAGAGGAACACAATCAGTCTTCTGGCCGCTAACTATAGCTGCTCTGCAGCACTTGAAAAGCAGTAGGAACTAACCTTTTGTTGTGGGTGGGAAGGGACAAGCTGATGATCCTGTTTTGTTTCCACCTCCAAAAACCTTTTCTTTTCCTTCATTCTGAATGTAACCTGCTTGCCTCCAGCTCCACTGCTCCCAGAGCATCCTGAATTTGCTGCAGATGTTCACACTGAAAGCTTGGGAATGCCTCTGTGGATACATGGCATTGCATTTGTCTTGTGAGTAAGGCAGCAGACCGAGTGTGTAAACCATCAACCTCCCCCTCTCCACATGTTTGATTTGGAGGTATTCAATCTGCAGTACTCCCAAATATAAATGCTGGCTTGCTACTGTTATCTAATTAAAGAACCTCATTTCCGTTGTGAACTGTAACCTAACTGCATTTTACTGTACCCTGCCTGTTCTGAAAATGTGACTAACTCTTCATCCAGCAATGGAAGAAGTAATCTGGCATGTGTAAAAAAGCTTTTTAAAAATCAGTTTAGGCTTATCCTCACCAGCATGGTCCACTGTTAAGAACCTTGACAAGTGAAAGGAGCGAATTCTCATTTAATATAACTGTAAAGATTTGGACTTTGCCATCCCTAGGGACAGGTCCCAGGATGAATTCACACAAACTCTGTTGCATGTTGCTTTTTCCTTTGCATGCAGATAAGAGAATGATCCCTGCATTTGCCAAAATACAATATCGGAACTGATTTATGTTATAATCTGATAGCTTTAGTTGAATCACCAAAAGCTAGAGTTATCCACATTGCAATGAAAGCTCCCTGGGTTCCGGTCTACATTTTTAATACAGCACTTGTGTGTGTGTGGGCTTTCAGTTACTTCAGCTTCCTAATACAGACTTAGTTGAAGCTTAACTTTTTTTAATGTGGACATATTCTTTGGTTCTTGCCTAAGCATTTACTCCATACAGTTTTTGGTTTCCCAGTTCAGAATGTGCCACTGGGACAGAGCATGAAGGGGTGAAGGTGCAGTACCAAGAGATACTGATTCAGAGAGGTGAAGCATGCCTCATCCTTCAAGGGAAGATGTACAATGCAAGCCACAAATCATTCAGATCAGGAACAAAATTCCATCTTGAGCACAAATATGATTATCTGCTATAGCAATGATTAAAAAGAATTTTTAAAAATTCCCTTTCTCTTCTAAGGGCTGTCTTGGTTTCTCTGGATCCTAAGATGGGATTCTATCATCCTTAGAAGTGTGTCAGGGTTAGTTTTATTGCTGCACAAGCTGGTCTACAAACTTGACCCGTTTTCTGTAAAGTCTTAGAAGTTGTTTGAAACTCACATATATTTAACTAGCTTAATATCTTTGACAGTTTTATCTGTCTCTATAAAATATCTTGCTGCCAGATGCTCCAGATCCAGTTATTACAGTTATTGGTCAATTCATACATTCTCATTGAGAAGAGCATGTTATCTGACAAACTTAAGTGTGCATTTCTCTTCCCATCAGGCAATAATTTTAATTGTGAAAAGTCACTGTCTGATAACGGACACATGGGAATAATCATAATCTTATTAACCTGATAGGATTGCCATGGTGGTGAAATGAAGACCATGAGGCAAGCTGTGTGTGCCTTCAGAAGATGAGAGAAGGCACCAAATTCCTGACTAGAACTTGTATAGAGTGTTGGCATGTATTGCTGGTGGTGATAGCAGGAAGCAGAGCAGGAAGTTACTGGTTCAAGAGATACTTTCTGGTTCAGGGGTTTAGAATAGAGCGGCCGGATGCAAAAGAAGAGAGCGCTCATACTCATGCAATGGTTCTGTAGAAAAAGGAGTTTCAGTTATGCAACTTGTCATGCAAGCTCACCTGCTACAATTCCTTCCTCTGTGCAACCCTTAGAGAAGCACGCTCCTTCTTCTCCGTTGCATCTGGCGACCCCAGTTTAGAACTGTGGTGCCGTTTTTGGTGTGCTAATACTCTTTCACTTAAATTCATACTGGAACATGGTTGCTCCCCCAATATGTGTGCTTTGTAAGTGATTATGTTGTATAGAGCACTGCTGACTCACACAGATGGTGGGTGAAGCAGTATCATTTCTCATAGCGATTGTTGAGTGGTAGTCACTGTGACTCTTTATTTGACAGAAGCTGCCATCTGACAGGTGTTTCTTTCTCAATGTGCTCCCCTTTCTTGAGTTCAGAGGGTTAACCATGCGCAGTAAAAGGTTGTTTAGTTGTTGAATGCTTCCTGGTATATGCTAACATCTTACCTCATAGAGCTTACCTTACCATCTTGAGAAGAAATGATCATTACGCAAAATGATAACTATGTCGCCCCATGACTACTTTACTAGGCCAAGATGTGTAAATCTGGTTTGAGATGTCATATTTGCTTGCCTTTAGGGGCCTTCTTACATGTTTCCAACTCACGTTGAAAATCTCAGAATGCCTTTTGCTCACCCAAGTGTTGCTGGGACAGCTTTTCCAAAGCTTGATCCCCTTCTGTGGCTCAAGACCCCTCCCACATCTCCTGAATTGCTCTCTCAGACCAAAGGGAACCTCTCTGCCTTATTTAAACCGTCTTTTGTTTTTTCTTCCAGCAGCTGCAAGTGGTTCCTTTATTCGGCGATATGCAGATAGAGCTGGCCAGATACATTAAGACCAGTGCTCACTATGAGGAGAACAAATCCAAGTGAGTGCCTGCCATAATGTCTCTTGGCTTTGGTGTGTCCTGGTCAAGAGAGGAAGTTGCCAAGACATTGGCAACTCTCCTGCTCTCGTGTGTGAGATCTGTGCATGAGTGCCTGTGAGCATGTGTCCATGTGATTATGTTACTGGGCATGACTCCATAGGAGTGAATGTGTCAATGTAGGATGTGTGGGTTCATCATTTCTCATCCTTTCCTTACTGTACCTTGAATGATACTGATCAAGCAGTGCAGTCCAGTCCAGTGCAGAATTGGGTGTGCCCAGCACCTTGAAATAGGCTGTTGCAGTCCCAGCTATTCTTGTTTCTGTCTTTTTCTCCCAGCCTTCTTCCAACAATCCTGGCAAAAAATGAAGTGGGATGTAACAGGCTGAGAGAGCTCTTTCTGAAACATTGCTATCATTGTTGAATCCATTTGCTCTGCTGTCTCAGTGATCCTTTCCGGATTTGTTCCTGTTTTGATCCAGGCCTCAGACATCCCAGACATGTACGGTTGTGACCTTCAGGTAGAGGAGCACCACAGAAGCGCCAAATATTTTGAGCTCGCCCAAGGATCAAATCTGGGATCAATAAGTCAAGCGTGAATGTGGCATTTTGCTCTTCATTTAAATTGGCAATGTGGAGCTCTCAGGCCCAGAACCTGGACCTGCTCCCTTCCCAACCAGTCCAAGTTCTGTGGCTACTCTGCAAGCTTCAGGCTTAAATGGGCACTCAAATGAAGCAGTGCAGGGACCAGGCCAGGGCCATCCACCTCACATCTGACAAGCGAATTTTAGTCTCTGTGAACCTCTGACTTTGTTGGAGCACTAGCATGTATCCCGTTGGAGTTCTCCCAAGTCGTGCAGACCATGGTCCTGACTTCTCCCCTTGAGTTACCTGCTTCCTATTTCCTACTGCCTATTACTTCCATTTGTTTCAGCATCAGTCCTTGCTCATCATTCAGGGCCTCACCTAAGCGGGCCTCACCTGCTGGTCCCAGCAGAAGACACTTGGCTTGCTTCGAGCAAGATCCACATTGCCTCCTGCCTGGACCCATGTTGCTTTACCCATCCTGCTTGAACCTGCAACCTGCTTTACAAACTCTCCCTAGCCTTTTGCTTGGTCACAATCCCCCCATGCTTCTATCCCATCTCTGTTCCTGCAAAGACTTTCTCATTTCCCTTCCAACGCTTACTGGTTAGACAGACTTGCTGGTCCCTTATTTGTGAACAATCTCTCTAGAATAAATTGTTCACAAATAAGAAACATGCAAACCTTTGAAGCTATTTGGAGTTGACTGTGAGTGTATAGCAGTGGTTTGTGCTGTGTGTGTGTGTGAGAGAGAGAGAGAGAGAGGGAGAGAGAGGGAGAGAGAATGCCTGTGAGTGTGTGTGTGCACACAACAGTGCATGATTGGCTGATGGGCATCCATGTGGATGGGAGCAGGTGAATGGTTCAGTCTTGGTGAAAGCGTATATACGGAGTACACTTACATGTTGGCAAAATGGATACATGTGTAAATGTTCGTGTGATAACATCCTCTGTGGATATATTTGTGAATGTTCCATTCTCTGTCTGTACTTGCATGTGTACTGTCCGTTCTGTATGTGTTTATGCTTGGTGGTTATGAATGCATGTGTGAATGCTAATACTTGGAATGTGAGTGAGGTGTTCCTGCTCTGGGGAGTTTTTATCCACATTTTTCAATAGGATATAAAATCCTCCAGAGCATGGATCCAACACTTTCTCTATCTGTCTAGGCTGCTTTTTCAGGGGAGAATAGTTATGAGATGAGACATACAAATTTTCAAGCAGCAGGGCTTTCAAAAAGGCAGCAGAGATAAGGAAGAGTCAATCCCATTGGTTCAAGCTAGACTCTTTTCCAAGGAAATTGATGATCAAGATTCAAATCATATGGCGGAGGGGGGAAGTGAACTTCCAGCCCCGTAGTGTACATGCAACATGACTCTGCTGCCTTGGAGGGTATTGTCAGTCATTCCTCAGGGAGTACCAGTGAGAATAGATATGCTGTTGAAGGTTAAATTAAGAGTTTGTTGTAAGCTCTCCCAGTCCACTTCTCACACGCAAGAAGAGACATGGCTAGACTCTCCACACAGTTCTCTTTGGAGCATCAATCCTTCTGGCCACTTACATATGTCAATGGTAATGGCTGCTGCTAATTGTGTTACAAAGCCTTGTTTTGGCCTGGTGCTAATATTGATGGCAGGACCACCAGCTTGCTTAGAATATTAAATCTAAATGTCCCAACCGATATGCATTGGATAGCACTTTCAGTCTCCTTTCTATGCCATAAGCTGATGGACTTGTTTTGTGAAGTGGCCAAGAATACAGACCAATTCTGTGGAACTTGTTTCATGATGCTGCATAGATTTAGTCCAAGATAAGACCTCAAGAAGCTAAAGGTTGTGGGGTAATCTCTTGTAATCACCCTTACAGAAATTCAGGTTTCAGTGTACCTTGGTGAAGAAGTGGCAAACAGTGCATATTAACATTCAATGTTTCTGTGTTGCGATCAGTCTAAAAGTATCTGACTAATGATTTGCCTTACCAGCATGAATGTATGGTTAGTTTCTTACTAATAATTCTAACCTTCACCACATACTGCCAAAGTCTGTTGGATCCCAGCCTGAGCTAAATCCATGGAACCTAGGAAGATCTTCCATTAATGGAAGTTGTTTTGCAATGTATGTGTTTAACCCCATTTCTAACATCTTCAGTTCCCTCCCAATAGTCAAAAGACAGTATATTTCCTCCTGTTGTCCTCATTTACTAACAATTCCTTTCTTGCTCGATTTTCAATCAAAGCAGAGTGGCTCCTGCAACTCTCTCCTTCCTAGGGGAAAAGATTTTGGACATGAACTGGTTGTACAACAGTTTTCTTATTTCTTGCACTGTCATGTTGTTCCCTCTATTATGCTCTTCCACCTTCATGCCAAGAAGCAATTAACCATGTTTTTCTCATGTGGCCTTTTACCTCCATGTTAGGGCAGAGATTATATGTGACAGGCTGGGCTAGTGCAGCAAAGTAGCTGATCATCTCTGTTATCCTGCCAATTCCTTTGGGGAAGCAGGACACTGAAAGGGTAAGAGTAGAATATCGGGGTTAGAAAAATCTGGAGCTATTACAGGACTTGCTCATCTAGTGTCAACATAACAGAACTGCATCTATCTCAATATAACAAAGGATTCCAAATATGGAGCAAGAAAAATGAGAAACCCTGTGTTTTTATGGCTAATGACACACAACAAGCACAGGTTTTGAATAACAAAGCAGTTAGCACAAGCTGGTAGCCCACAGATGTGCCATGGACTGAAGTTTGTTTTGTCCAAAATAGTTACATGGCCAGTGAGTTGGGCTAAATTCGTACTCCTAGGAAAGGGGAAATGAATGGTTCATTGTGAACATCACATGAAACCATGCTAAGGATGCTGAACTGTTTATTGATTTTTGGTTGATACTTGAATTGACAAACTGTGGAATACCATGAACTGGAAACTGGAATCAGAAGACTGTATGAAGTGCATTTGTCGACCTTCAGTGGGGCTGACTGTGATCATAGTTGCTGTGCCTCCAGAGGCCTCCACAGAACAGAAATGGAAATGCTGAGCAGGTGGAAAATAAAAACAGGCTGGCAAGTTTGTCTACATTTAGAAATTCCAGCCATGGTGATGTGTGAACTGAGTCAATGTGGGTAAGTGCAAGGTCTTGCACTTGGGGCATAGGAATGGGTCTCATAAATGCAGGTTAGGGGATAAGTGGCTGGAGAACAGCACTTGTGAAAGGGATCTCAGGGTGCTGGTTGACTGCAGGCTGAACATGAGTCAGGAGTGTGATGCGGTGGTCAAGAGGGCGAACGCCACCCTTGGTTGCATAGCCAGAAGTGTGGCTTCTAGATTGAAAGGTATTACTTCCACTCTGTAAGACTCTGGTGTGCCCGCAACTGGAGTATTGTGTTCAGTTTTGGGCCCCTCATTACAGGAAGGATATACCCTGCTTAGAGTCAGTGCAGCATAGGGCCACCAGGTTGGTGGCTGGTTTGCAGGGGAAGTCGTATGAAGTGAGACTGAGGGAATTGGGGCTTTTCAGCCTGGAGAAGAGGAGACTCAGAGGGGGTCTGTTGGTGACATACAGGTATGGGAGGGGGTGTTACACGGAGGTGGGTAGAGACCTGTTCTCCCCTGCAGAGGAGGGCAGGATGCGCTCCAACAGGGAGACCCAACCCAGGGAACCAAGGTTCAGTTTAGATGCCAGGAAGTACTTCCTGACAGTCAGGACCCCGAGGGTGTGCAATGGGCTTCCACGGGGGGTGGTTGAGGCCCCATCAGTGAGGGTGTTCAAAGATAGGCTGGACATGCACATGGTGGGCATGTCGTGAATGGAGCCAGCTGGAGCTGGAGGTCAGACTAGATGGCCCAGGAGACCCCTTCTGATTCACTCTGTTTCTATGTTTCTGTAAGTTTTGATGCTCTAGTGCTTTTGGAAAATAGGAGGTTGAGCCAATCAGGCATTATAATTCCACCTGCTACATTGACCATTCTGTTTTGGTTTTTGATGTGGGCACATGACCAGAACTGAAACAAAATATTAAGGAGACCTTTCATTTCCTGCTTTCAGTGCAAATGTTGGTTTTACATTATAATTACTGAAAACCAGTCTTCTGCTTCCCTCACCCGTTTTCTGAGCAGGCGATAATTTAGTTTTGTGCCTGTGATAGTTCTATTAGTGCAGTTTTCTTTATGGCTGCAAAATATGTCGATTGTAGGTATATAATGAAGGTGTGAATTATGAGGAGGCTTCAGGGTTGTTCTGAGCAATTAACAGGTCCTGTAACATGTCCGCCAGGTCTATGCACAGCTTAACAGATAACTGCAGGGCACAGCAACAAGCTCAATTATGCTGGATGTAACAATGTGCTTGTGAAGTGAAAGAGCAGAGGCATCTTGAGTCATGGCTGTTGTTTCACTGTGATGAGTGTTAACTCAGAGGCATTGGTTTTCTGCCCAGGTGGACATGCACTCAGAGCAGCATCAGTCCCCAGTACAACATCTGCGAGCAGATGGTGCAGATCCGAGATGATCATATCCGCTTCATCTCCGAACTCGCTCGGTACAGCAACAGTGAGGTAAGCTTCCATGGGAAGGAAAGAAGGCAGTGCAGGAGACAAAACGGGGAATATTGGGGGTGGACTTGGGAAAATCTCAGGCTGGTCATTAACTCTGTGAAACTGTGACCTTTCAGTTTTCCATCTCTAACATTAGAATGCAGCTAACCTATTCTTATGAGAATACATACAATTACCTTTATGAAATACTTGTGGCCCAGCTAACCCGATTCTACCTGCTCTGACTGGCAGCAGCTCTCCAGGTACATGGGCAGAGACAGACCTTTGCCAACCCTGTTGCTTGTGATCCTTTTAGCTTGGAATTCCTTGACTTGAATCTGAGACCTCCTGTATTCAGAACAATGTACCATCCTCTGTCCTTCCATATTGCATGTCCCTCTCTGATCTTTTACTTTCCCCTCTTTAGCCACTTGTTTAGCTTTTGCAGTTCACCAATTTACTCAGCATCTTATTTCTTTTTTTAAAGTGTTAATAGATCAAATGGGATAAAAACTGAACGCAAGATAAAATACATCCAAATCTGTTAGGTTTCGGACAAAACCTTCAAGCTCTAAAGTTTTTCTTGTAGTAGATCAGCAAAAACTTATACTGATGTGGGATAACCTGGCAGGAGGAAATAATATGATCAATATAAGACATAAATAGGTATAGGACTGGGCAAAACTGGGAATTCCATTTTGTTTAACCCTAACGGAACATTTCCAATCCGGCAATTGGTGGTGGACTGCACTGAATTTTTTTCAGCATCTGTGAGTAATGCATGCATTTTTAAAACATTTCATGCAAATATACTAATTGTAATATGTAGATGACCCTGTTAGCTCTGTTAGCCCATTTTAAAGCTCCAAATCTTAAAAGGAAGCCTAAATTGTAACAGTTATTGTCAAAACTGTCAAAGTTCCTGTAAATGAGGTAGCTTCTCACTTTCTGCTCATGGAGGTTTAGAAAAAGGTGAAAAGGTACAAGAGACTAAGAACATTCAAATTGACAAATAAGAAGAAGGGGATCTCACAAAAAGGGGATGATCTACTGGGCACCCCCTTTTGCAAGGAAAGATCCATTCAAAGCTTTTCTTTCTCTTGGCAGCTTGCCTTTTGAAGGCTGTCTGGGAAGACAAAGCAAGAATTTAATTTGTAGCCTTGTTTTCTCAGTGTTGTTTTATGCTGCCTCCTGCCCTTTGAGAGGAGACACTTCCAAGGACATTGACAAGGCTTTGCACACATGCAAGTGCACAAGTACACAGTTGGCAAAGTCCGATTTAAAAAACATAAGTTTGTGCAAATTTCAAGAATAGTTTTTTTAGTGCACAGATTTTTTTTTTGCTATTAAAAAAAGTGAAAATCCTTATTCTGGCTCAACTTCATGCAAACCTAATGGATGCCAGCAAGGGAAAAGGCTGTCAGATGACTGTGCAAATAGAATTCCCACACATCTATAATACCGTACTGTGTAAAATGATAGCAAGGCTTCCTGTGGGAGGTGAGCTCGTCCATGAACAAATGATTCCACAGCCTCTGAAGCATTGCTAGTTAAAATCACTGAACTATTTCCGTGGGCTATAAATATTGATCTTTCTACTAATAAGTGCAAAATAAACATCTTAAGCAATGAAGACCACATTTCTTTGGAAACATACTCAGAAGTGCAAGCTTTCTTGGAAGTATTTTGTTCCAAGTATATCATTAATAGCTTTCCCCAGATCTTTTCTCCAAATATCTCTATCAGAGGATAAGGATACAAGTCTCTTGACAACATCTCCAGCATGTGTTTGAAACTGTTTTAAAGATCTTTTGTGTCTTGTATGAAATTAAGTACCAACAAAAATGCTCTGGAACTCATTTTCCATGCCACAGTCTTTGCCCTTGTTTTGTGAAACACTTATCCCAGTGGGAATTGCCTGCCAGCATTCTTTAGTCCACTTCTCTGCACATGTGTAAAGCTTTAGAAGAACCAGACTTAAGTCGTGTGCAGACATTTGTTTTCTGGGAGGATTCCACAGACAAGGAAAAAGAGCAGGAGCAAGCATGTTGGCTCCATCACTTTCTGTCATTGTCCTCATCACTGCTGTGGTGTTCTGGGCAAACATTTATAGAGAGGAGCTGTTTGTGTCCATGTTGGCTGTATGTGCCTGATTTCCCAGGGTTCTACATGAATACAGAAGGTTTGCTTCTGCAGATGTTTGGCATGAACACAGGGAGAAAAATGAGGAGGGCAAGGCCAACATAGTTGTCTCCTTTTTCTTTGTGTGTAGAGACAAGAGAGATAATATAAATTCTTCCAAAACAACTCAGCCAGGGTTCCTTTACAAGATACAGGCACATGATTGTTTTCAAATGCTGGATGAAAAATATCTGGTGCCAAGAGTTTTGCCTATCCTTTCCATTCTGTGAAAATTCTAGCAGTGAGAAGGTTCCTGATCTATTATAAATGTTATAATGGAATGACCAAGAATTTATTAACAGGAAAACCCTGCACCTCCTATACATATTCCATCCCAAGTCAATGAAATGTTGTGTGACAATGTACATTTAGTGGTGCAACTGGCTATTTTCACAGTTGAATCTTATATTTGGACTCCCCAGCCCCACATGCTCTGCCCCTTTTTCCATTGGTCTACTAAAAGAAGATCTTCTGGGCTTCTGCCCCGTAAAGCCATTAATTGCTTTTGCCATTTTTTAAAATATATCGTCTGGGGTATCAGTTAAAATGGTCTGAAGCAGAAACATAAGTTTGTGGAGTCATTTTGGTGGACACAAGCTTTGCATCTCGTCTCAACCATGTCTGTTCTCTTCTCGCTCCCATTTCCCCTGTAGTCACTTTTTTTTTATCCTTAAAGTCTTACTCAGAGATTAATCCCAGTTAATAGAAATAGTAGCAATTGAAAAAAAAGATAAGATTGAGACATTAACTCATATGTCCCTCAGATAGAAAGGTGTCTGATGTTCTGCAGGTTGTGACTGGCTCAGGGTTGGACAGCCAGAAGTCAGATGAAGAATACAGGGAGCTTTTTGACCTGGCTCTACGGGGACTGCAACTTCTATCCAAGTGGAGTGCACATGTTATGGAAGTGGTATGTATCAGCCATAGCCATGTGTGTATATTAATTCCCAGGCCACAGATGCCAACATGAAATAACCCAGAAATTCTCAATGCAGAGGAGAAATTGCCTGATCATTAAATGATCCAACACATGTTCGTTCAAAATTGGTGTCACAGTTATGTTGACTTTTGTTTTCTCTGTTCAGTATTCTTGGAAGCTGGTCCATCCCACCGATAAATTCTGTAACAAAGATTGTCCGGGTACTGCTGAGGAGTATGAAAGAGCCACACGGTACAATTATACCAGCGAAGAAAAGTTTGCATTTGTGGAGGTGGGTGGCTACATTGGCTCATTGCATATAAAGCATCAAGTGTGGCTTGAAAAGGGTGATCTGGGGGGTGGATATTAGCTCTGCTCCTTCTTGTTACTTTTGTCCAAGCTGCTTCTGCTTTGATTTTGGACTATTATGCTCTAAGGCAGTACAAGCAGTCCCCAAGTTAATAAACATCCAAGTTATGAACAACCTGTACTTGCACACAAACTGCCATAAAGCCTATTCATGTGTGTGTGTGTGTTTAAATCACTGCAGGAAATCATCACCACCATAGAGGGAGAGGAAGCAAAAGGAGAGGGGGGGCCCTCCAAAACATGCCTTCCTGCCCCAGCCACCAAAAGAGGGAAATCTCTCCAGTGTTTCCTTGCTTCAAAGAGGAAATGTTGGTGAATTTGGGGGATGGTGGGGCTAGAGATATTAGCAGTTTTTCTACTTTCATGGGGGTCCTTGCACCCCAACCCCCATGAATGTGGAGAGCCAACTATATGTGATCCAACTGACATACAAATTCAACTTAAAGATGAATTTCCATTTTCTCAGGAACAGAACTCACTTGTAAGCTGGGGACTGCCTGTAGTGGGAAACCTGTGACCCTCCATACATTTTAGCCTACAACTCCTAGCCAGTGTAACCAATGGTGAGGGATCATAGGAGTTATAGGCCAAAGTATCTGGAGAGCCCAGAGTTGCCCACCCTTGATTTAACCTCATGATATATCTTGTTAAACAGCACTAATGCATGATGAGCAATACCAGTATTGTTTGGTTGCATAGCCCAGCCATAGTTATTATTACTAGCAATATACCAATGCTGATTCCTGCAGTCTGGCAGAATCTGTTACCTTATCTGTGCAGTAAGCAGATTTTTTTACCAGCCCAGTTCCTATAAGAGAAGTGACTGTGCTGGCTATATGCATCCTCTGGTTCCAGATGCTGTATTCCTCCAATGGGGGGTCGGATGCATCGGGGCTGCAGCCTTCACCCAGTGCTTGTGGGCCTCCTGAGGCGTTTGACTGGCCATTCTGGGGACTGGACTAGATAGGCCTTGCTCTGATTCAGATGGGCTCTTCTCACATTCTTCCATTCACAGATTTGTGTTCTGCTTAGGGAAAAGTGTTGCCCCTTTCCTCCCAATACTGTCTGCATGCAGGGAATCTCATTAATCCAAATTCCTTTCCAGATTTGCCATTGACATCTGTGGTTAGTGTCCAAAGAACTGTAGAGGTCTTTACAGGGCTTTAGGTTTGTGTTCTTGGAAACACATGTCCTCATACTTACGCGGGCATCTGCTTTTGAAATGGAGCGTGGTTTCAAAAGTGGTCTGCAGTGTGGCTGGGGAGCCAGCCCCTCAAAAAAGAAAAAAAAGCCACTGGGTTAGCACAGCCTGAGTAACTTTTAGATCTTACCTTGTACAAGTGGAATCATAAAACAGCTTTCTTTATCCAGTACGTGAAATAACAGTTTCAGTGTGTCTGGTTAATATTATTAAGAACTTTTTACTCATTCCTTATCAGGAATTATTTTTAATTAATAATAAAACATGATTAGAAAGGGTTTTTTTTGTTTTACTCCAGCACTGTTGTGCGTGTTTGCACATTGTGAGTGTGAGTGTCAAGGAAAAGGTTTAATGTGTTTTTGAACTGCTAGATAATTTTGAAATGATCTCTCCCTCTGCCCCCTAGAATGAAACACTTTGTGGCTGTCAATCTTTCATTAATGAGATTGATTCTCTGATGGAACATGAAAGGAAGGCATGTGCTTTCTTTCTTTTTTTAAATAGGAAGGCAGAGAAAACAAATGCTCCTCTTTTCTAATTCTAACTCCAGGTGATAGCAATGATAAAAGGCCTGCAAGTGCTCATGGGCCGCATGGAAAGTGTTTTCAACCAAGCCATCAGGAACACGATCTATGCCGCTCTGCAGGATTTTGCCCAGGTGACACTGAGAGAGCCACTGAGGCAAGCAGTCAGGAAGAAAAAGAATGTCCTGATCAGGTGAGGCTTCGGGTTTACTGTGTGCTTTGAGAGAAGAAAATTAGATGCTCCGCTCAGTGCAGGACTGCTGCCAAAGTTCGCAGGCCTGGAGTGCATTCCCCAGGGTTCCTCTTACTGTAACCTCATCACATTGTGCACTTCCCTGCATGTTCTACACATGATTGGCACCTGCTGACACACCTTAACGAGGTCATAAGAGGGGCAAGAGCCTCTTGAGGTCCGTAGAATAGTTCCAATCCTCCTGCCCACTCACACACAGCTAGCACTGAAAGAACCACACCAGCTGCCTCTTCAAGGTTGGGAAGTGAGCTTTGGATCAGGGCCGTCTTAACGCATGGGCCTGATGGGCACTTGCCCATGGGCCCCATACTAATCTGTGTATGTTAACCCTTGGAAAATTGGAAAACTTCCCAAATTAACAGTAGCTGTAGTTGTCGTAGGGGCCCCAGTACACTGCTTTGCCTGGGGCCCATAATGCTGTTAAGAAGGGCTTGCTTTGGATCAAGGGTAAAGAGGGTGTTCCTGTTGTCTGGGAAGGGAGGAGACCTCAGAGGAGAGGTTATTATGTAATTAGTGTCATCTGCAGCCTCTTCCCTCCCAGGCTGCCTTTGGATGGCCAAAAATGCTCTAGATGCAAAGCAGCAAGAGCAGGAAGGAAAGATCAGCTCCAGCACTCCTTCTGTCCTGCATAGGGTGCTCATCATCTTCTGAGTTCAGAGGCTTATGGTTGTCTCTGCTGACCCTTTATGGTCCACAATTCAGAATGTCCAAGCATTTGTGTGAAAGGGTTTTTTCCCCTTGGGTTAGCACTCAACACCAAAATTCCATCACGTTATCATAAACTGAGTTTCCACTTGCATTTGGGGCACAAAATCCGACATGCAGCTTGCTGGCTTGTGGGGCTCGACTGCAGAACCCTGAGACGGGTCGTATAGGGAACTCTTCACTATTCATAAATCATCATAATATCGGTATCACTTGTGCAGACCTGGTTCCAGGATCAACTTGTCATCCATGTATCTGTTGCACTTTGGGATGGTAGTTCACTTGAAGAGCCCTTGTGGGCAAGGTTCAATCTTTGGCATCTCCAGGTAAAATGGTGACCAGGCTGGAAACAACTTGCAGTGAAACTCTGGAAAGACACTGCAAAAGTAGAAAATTGCTAAGCTAAATAGAACGGTGTTTTCCCTGAGTTTGTTTGTTTGTTTGTTTATTATTTCATTTTATTTTTAGCCTGCCCCATATTCATGAAATCCATATTCATGAAATGAACATTCCAGGAAGCACTGATATTGTTGCCCTTTGGAACTGAACTGCTGGAACTCGTTAGTACAGGTAGTTCCCGGGTTATGAACAACTCATACTTACAAACGAGCAAGCCAGGCTTCCCATCTTGACCTTGAGCAGCAAGCAGCAGCACCCACTGGTACTCAATTGTAAATGGCTGCTTTCTGCTGGGCAAGATCAGAAGTCAGAACTTGTTCCAGGCAGAAAGGAGAGGAAGGAAGGAGGAAGGAAAATGTGGTTCCAGCAAACAGTGAAACAACTACAGCAGTAATCCCCCTCCACTCCAGCAGCACAATCAAACCCTGACTCTCCACAGGGTCTATCCCCTCCAGCATCAACCCCGTGTTTTTTAATGTTTAATTGATTTTAACTGAGGTTTTAGTATTTCAATTGTTGGATGCTGTGGTGTTTCGTTTTGTTCTACTCATTTTATTGTAACCTGTCCCAAGACACTAGTAGGGGGTGGGGTAGAAAGGGTTTCAATCAGTCACTCAATCAATCAATAAAATCTCCATCATCATCTAGTTAAGGTTAGGCTTAATGTTAGCTCAAGAAGTATTAACCTTTAATAATCTTTTTTACTGGTTTTTCTATCTTTCTATCTAAGCTGTTTTAAAAACTGTACTATATATCTACACATATGCAGATTCTCTCTCTCTGTCTCCAGTACCTGTAGTCACTTTAGCATTACTGTATTATTATCACTATTAAAATGCTGTATTGTGTTGAGATGTTTTAGTGTATATGGAAATGTTTCTTAAGTGTTTTATATGCTTTTTATATACGAGTTACATACAAATTCAACTTAAGGATGATCTCAGGAACCATAACCCAGGGACTACCTGTAACTGCAGTTATAGAATAGGCTATTGAGTTAAGTGGAACATGGATTATATTGCAATCACGTCTTTTATAGCCACAGACTTCTTTCATAGCCACAGACTGCCCTTGCTGGTATGTTTGTGTAAATGTTCCACTATCAAGTTGCAATTTGTTATAGGCATCCTTGTACAAAGAACTAGGCCACAGAGATAAAATGAAACTCCTTCAAAGAAGTACCTGCCTCCAGATCTAAAAATCACATTCAGTGCATTTTAAGCTATGTATTTATTCCTGATCTTCCAGGCATTTCATAGCAGCTTACATATGGTTCCCAGGTGATTTACCATCTTTCAGATCACTCTCTGATCAATCCCTTGGAGAAATCATTTATAAATAATACTTCTAATTAAGTAGACTTCTTGTCATTTTGGCAGGCTCAGACTTTCTGTCTGTATTTGAGTCTGTAAGTGATGCATTTTTCTGAGGCTGAGAAGAGCCCACAGTCCTTTTACACTCAGCACTCATACTTTATACATACATGCTCATAGACAATATTTTAAAGATTTATTAACACCTACCAAGTATATTTAAGAGAATTTAGAAAGAAACTGGTACCAGTTACATGAGGAGAAGAAAACAAGACAAGCCACGATGCATACATTACTAGTATAGCATTCTATCAACAGAGTTCATGCCCTGCTAGGAATAATCCTACACAGTTGCTTGCTTTTACTTTCATCAATTTTATCCTTGAACGTGTTCCCACCCAGGTTTACATCACAATCATCTTTGTTGTTTTTGCTGCAACAAATTAACATTACCAGAGTTGTTGGTGTTGGCATCTTTATAAAGCCACATTTGAGTCACACTCTTAGGGCAATATACATGAAATTGAGCTATTTAATCCTCAATTTAGCAATTTAATCCTGAGCTGTTTAATCAATTGAGATATTTAATCCTTAGAACAGTCCCATAAGGTAGGCTGTGCTGAAGTTGACATCCAGTGAGTTTTAGGGCAGATTGGTAATTTTAATCAAATTTCATTCATCTTCCCAGTGTCCTTCAGGCGATTAGAAAAACCATTTGTGATTGGGAGGGAGGACGTGAGCCTCCAAATGACCCTTGTCTAAGGGGGGAGAAGGACCCCAAAGGCGGTTTTGATATTAAGGTTCCTCGGCGAGCTGTGGGTCCTTCTAGCACACAGGTATGTACTCCCTTTTCCAGGTGCGGAGACTTGTTATCTATATAAACACAATGTTTATTGTGATGATGGTCTTCTCTTTTACTGTAATACCTTGGCAGGTAGGGCACTGCAGTTGGCAGCACTGCTTGCTGCCCTGGATGCATTGCTGATAACTTCCAGGTCAGTCCTAGAGACATTGGCCCAGGGACAATGTAGATCTTTTGTAACATTAGACCGTGCGCTCATTCTTACATGGGAAGAGCCTCCTTCATCCTGCCAAGCAGATAGCAGCATGGTCTGCTCCAGCGGTGCTGCTCACATCTCTGGTGGGCTGCTTGAAGGCCCTCCCTGGATACTACTACTGGAAGAATGCACTGACAATCCTGGCAAAGGTGCCATGTTGTGTGGACATTTGGGCAGACTTGACTAGTCGTGTTGGCAGGGGATCGTGGGAGTTGCTGCCCAACACACTAGAAGGACAACAGGTTGGGGAAAGCAGGTTATACAGCCAATTTATATCCCCAAAGTTCTTTGTGAGTGCAGGGTCATCACCAATCAACACATCATGTGCAGGACCTTCATTCTCACTGTGTGGGGCTGTTATTTGGAAGCAAATGCACTCGGGATCCGTAGGTCCTGCTTCAGCGTATTGCCTAGCAGGAACCAGTACTGGGATCAACATGCTTGGAGCATTCACGCAGGCACACTGCTCCCCCTACAGTGGCAGAAGAAGATGTATCTTACCACCGCTGCTGCCTGTGGCCAAATACTGAGTGTCATCCCAAAGCAGCTGGGAACGCAATCAGAGCTCCATTCTTTCTAGTCATACATGAAGTTAATCCTCCAAAATCATTTAAATTTGGATTTGGTAGGGTGGGATGGAAAGGGGGTCATTCTTGGCATCTCTGCATTTTTTAAAAAAAAAGATGGATTGTGTTTCTGTGTATTTAATGGAGACCAATTCCTCATCTATTCACCTCAAGCAGTTACAGTCATGAACTATAGACAATGTGTTTGTAAAGGCTGTAATAACAGTAGGAGGCATCTTCCTGCAGCTTTACATGGTGAGAACTATGCTGGAATCCCTCATTGCAGACAAGAGTGGCTCAAAAAAGACTCTCAGAAGCAGCCTGGATGGGCCAATAGTTCTGGCCATTGAAGAGTTTCACAAGCAGTCCTTCTTCTTCACTCATCTTCTCAACATAAGTGGTAAGTAGCAGCCGCAGGTTTGCTGTGAAGATGCATCTGATGTGGTGTGTCAAAAGTAACAGACTCTAGGCCAGTCATTTACATTAAGGTACATTTAGATCAGGGACTGTGAGTGGCGCAGTGGGTTAAACTGCTGAGCTGCTGGGCTGGTTGATTGAAAGGTCGACAGTTCAAATCCGCTGACAGGGTGAGCTCTCGTTGCTTGTCCCAGCTCCTGCCAGCCTTGCAGTTCAAAAGCATGCAAATGCAAGTAGATAACAAGGTACCATTTCGGTGGGAAGGTAACAGCGTTCTGTGCACCTCGGTGTTTAGTCATGCCAACCAAATGACCACGAAGACTGTCTGCGGACAAACGCTGGCTCCCTCGGCCAGGAAACGGAGATGAGCACCGCCCCCAAGAGTCAGGCATGACTGGACTTAATGTCAAGGGGAAACCTTTACCTTTACATTTAGATCTGGGTATGGGTTTTGTACAAAATTGTTAGTATGGATGTTTTAACTGGTTTCTTGAATAAGTGGTGATTTTGTACTATATTTACTATATTTTACTATATTTTCACAATTTGGATATGTTTTTGTACTCTGTATATTGCAATTTGTACTCCATGATGATTATTTTTTGAAATTCATTTATGCTATCATAGACCGTGAACTTATCTTGCTTTTGGTGTGGGGACGTATTGTGTTTTCAGAAGCCCTTCAACAGTGCTGTGACTTATCACAGCTTTGGTTCCGTGAATTTTTTTTGGAGTTGACAATGGGTCGTCGAATTCAATTCCCTATCGAGATGTCGATGCCTTGGATTCTAACAGATCACATCCTGGAAACCAAAGAACCTTCTATGATGGAGTAAGATCTCAAGGATGTGGGGTGTTTCTATGGAAATGTATGGGCATGCATGTATGTAGGAGATAACAGCTTGAGGAAATGTGAATTTATTTAAAGTTGGCATTCTAACATGTGAAAGGAATTGGCGGTGAGTGCCCAAACTCAGGTTCTGATCTTTACAAGGTGTCTTGTTTTTGCATTGTGCCACATGGTCCACTTATACTCTCAGATGTTAGAGGAGGGACAATGGAAAACTGTCTTCATTGGTAAGACAGAATTCCCCCAAACATGCGGGAATCCGGAGGCCATGTATAAAACCTATTTTCCTCTTTCTGGACTTTGCAGGACACACAAGGAACAATGGAGGCAGGAAGTCATTTGTCAACTACCCAAGAACAGTTCTTAGAAATATCCAAAGTATAGAAATGTTGTACAGAGTATAGAAATGCTGCAGATGAATGAATGAATGAATGAATGAATGAGAATTTATATCAGCGGGGAGGCTCCATTACAGAAGGTCTCACTTTTCTTGTGTCAGTGATATATTATCAAGTCCAGTTTGCATGCATTAAGAAATTGTTTAGTAGAACCAAAGGGCAATAAAATGGATGACAAATTCAGAATAAATATTGATTTTAATGTACAAAACCAAAAAATAGTGAGAGCTACTGTAAGGGAGCCTCCCTTTTTTGTTAAAGGTCTACTTTAGAGATATAAATAAAATGTATTAAAAGCGATGAATGAATTGATGGTGTGTTTAAAAAGGAGCAGAATGACTGACATGGCTGAACTCTGTGCTGAGCCCATATTCTTCATTGCAGGTATGTGCTATATCCTCTGGATCTCTACAATGATAGTGCTTATTATGCATTGACCAAGTTTAAAAAGCAGTTTCTCTATGATGAAATTGAAGCAGAGGTAGGTTTCTTTCTTTTTCTTTCCAAATAGTTTATTTTAGGAATGCCATCAAAAACAATCTGCTTTTATTCATGCTTGTTTTAAAACCAGTTTTCTCATCTTCTTTCTGCCAGGTGAACTTGTGTTTTGATCAGTTTGTGTATAAACTGGCGGACCAAATATTTGCTTACTATAAAGCAATGGCTGGCAGGTATGAATCTCCTGTTGGGTTTGAGGCTGTTGTCAAAATTTGCCCCTTTGGCCAAATTTATGACTATCCCTGATTCCAATGACATTTATCAAACCAGTCCCTGACCTGAAGATCTTAAGCCCTGCGCAGCTGATGAGATCACAACAAGCAGACATTGCTGACAAATGAGAATAAAATTTTTGACATAGATTTTCAAGGATTATAGCAGTCCATACAAATCGCAAGCACTTCACCTCTGGCATGATCACAGGCCAAAGTGTAGTGGTTACCCATTCAAGTGCCCACACGTGTGGGAGAAAATAGAAGGTGGTGACAGAAGGGGATTTCAAATGGGATTTGTAAGCCTGATTGATGGTGCAGTATTGCTACTCTTGGCTGCCTTTACAACTAAAGATTATTGCATGAACGAAAGCTGTTGCCTAAACTCTCTGTCTAAAAGATATTTAACACCAAGTAAACCAAATTTCCATGTTACCAAATGCCCAGATTCTGCTTTTGGAATATCACATCTTTTCATGCATTCTGTTTGTGCAAATTACTGAGCAGTACATAGCCTGCCAATAGTCAAGGATTCTGGGAGTTATAGTCCAACAACATCTGGATCCACATTGAGAAGGCTGTCTCATCGATAGCTCACCTTTTATAAGAATAAAATACTATTGTAATTCCATTAATTAGGCCAGCCAGGAGACATTCAAGTAAGGATATTGACAGATTCTTTCCACTTGCAGCGTCTTGCTGGATAAGCGATTCCGCGCTGAATGTAAGAATTATGGAGTGATCATCCCTTATCCACCATCCAACCGCTATGAAACGCTGCTCAAACAGAGGCATGTCCAGGTACAACTTAGTCAATGTCAACAAGATCCCAGATGTCTTATATGGCTACTTAGAGCGGCTTTGCACCTTGGTTCTGCATGCTGCAGTTGGTGGTTTGGGCTGCGCATGGCACTCTTACACTACATGTAGGGTGCACCTGTGAAAGCCATTACAATTTCTTATAGCACATCTGAGATAACCAGATCAGCAGAAGATATCTTTCAGCCCTGCGCCTGTATGTGTTGGGAAGCATCATATTTTTGGCACAAATTCTGTGAATGTGTCCTTGATATGGCCAGTGTCTGTAAGTGAAAGAGCAGGCATTAGCAGAATTAAATTAGCAGAATTGGCATTTCTCACCAGTTCTTCTCATGGCATGCTTTCAGATACAGAACTTTTCTTCTTTCCACGCCACCTGCTTTCTCTTGTCTTTACTTGTTTCATGTATATATGCCACAAGCCATCCATTTCTTACAGCCACTGGGTTTCACTGCATGTATAGAATTGCCTCCTGGCTGTAAGTTCAGTATCATGGAGGAAGGAGATCATCATGCATATTACTCTGCAAGCACAGATCACTTCCTTCCACTAAAATGAATGGGCTGAAATTTGTCTCTTTATCTCTCAGTGATGAATGCATTTGGGGTCCAATGTAGTTCTTTGCATTTTAGTTCTGAGTTTAAGTCAAACTTTTCTTCATTGTCTTATATATGTTCCCCGTCTTGTGTCTTCTGCAGCTGTTAGGCCGGTCAATTGACCTAAACAGACTAATCACCCAACGTATCTCAGCTGCAATGTACAAATCATTAGACCAGGCCATTAGCCGCTTTGAAAGTGAGGATCTGACCTCCATTGTGGTGAGTATTGCCCTGGAGAAGGGACACTGAAAGGAAAGGCTTCTTCTTACTGCATGGATATTATAGTTCATCTCTGATCAGAAATGTATTCTGTTCTCTCCCACCAGACTGTCCATGAAACTGTTTACTAATGTGTTTGTTTCCTCTCGATTCAGTCCCATTCATGTGTGTGTGTGTATCCCAGGCAAAACTCATAAGGAGATTTTGACAATCTTACATATATCTGTTGGTAATGATCCTTGACAAACTATCCACCTTCACATGTCTTACTTGCAGACAAAATAAGAGGTGTCAGCAGGCTCCACACTTTGGTCATCAAATAAAGATTTCTTGGCCCTTTTGGTTTCAGAGAAGATGCATGATCACTTACAGTGCAGATGAGCCTTTTCTGACTTCATGCTGTCTAGACATAGCTGTACTCCAACTTCCATCTGTGCCGATTAGCATGGCCAACGGCCTGGTATCTTGGGGATTATACTCCACAACATCTGAACACTAGGATGAGGAAGGCAGCACCAAACCATGAAGATTTTCAGACAGTTCAGTCACTAGACAACTGCAGTTAGTGTGAGCAGAGCCTGACAATTTAGAGAGAACATTGTGTAGGTTCAGCCCTGTTTTCTCTGGGTGCAGGAGCTTGAGTGGCTTTTGGAGATAAATCGTCTGACACACAGATTGCTGTGCAAGCACATGACCTTGGACAGCTTTGATGCCATGTTTCGAGAGGCCAATCACAATGTCTCGGCTCCTTATGGGCGCATCACCCTGCATGTCTTCTGGGAGCTGAACTTTGACTTCCTACCTAATTACTGTTACAACGGATCTACTAACAGGTAAGAAACAAATGCCAGAGCGGAGTCCAGTGGAGCCCAGTCTGAGGCTAGGTTGGGGTTCCTCTTGTTTGTGCCTTTGCCTTCCTGATCGAAACTGTGTTGCATTATGTAAACAATTTCATGTTACCCAGTATTACAATTGCAACACTTATTTCTTGAATTGGCCAGGTTTGGACTCAATTGATATTATATCAGAAAATGATGTCTAATCAGATTGTAGCTCAATTATGAAAAATAAATTATAGAAGTAATTGCAATTTGTTGCTATGAAGAACCATAAAGAAACCTTTAAAGCAGCCAGTGTCTGGAATGTTGGAGGGGAAGGGGCAAAAATAACAATATGAAAATTGTGTTGCCCTCTTGTTTCTACCAATACCAGATTTGTACGGACAGCAATTCCATTCACTCAAGAACCACAGAGGGATAAACCAGCCAACGTCCAGCCATACTATCTTTATGGATCTAAGGTGAGTCCCGAAGCACACTTGCCATTAAATAGCCTCTCTGAAAAGGGGTTAGTTTAGGAAAACAGATTGCTCGTCACAAGCAGTATTCCTGGAACAGAAAGTCTGGGGTCAAAACAAGAGAAAGATGCTTGATTTTATGCAATGAACAATGATAACAAGCAAATGGCTTCATTGGGGACCTCAGTCCTCCTACAGCTGTGCAAATACAGGCTCCTTGCACTGTTGGAAATCCCGATCACACACAACACATGGAGCAAGTGTGTCAAATTGGCTTTGGAAATTGCCCCCCTGAAATGACTTGGAGGCTTAGGATTGCAGCCTGGGGCACCAGCTAAATGTTGTCCTGATGATGTAAAATCCCGTTAAGCAGGAGTTTCTTTGCAGATTCACCAAACTGAATTCTGTGCAGAATAGAAATTGACAGCTGACTACCAAACCATAATACCCCATCATGGTTTTTCTTGGTTGTATGACTGAACACAGCCTAATTCAGAGGCACATGTAGCCCGAAATATACTTTAGAACCAAGGCCTGGTAGCCAGCAACACACTGTTAGTTTTGTTTTTATTTGTTATTTTATTCCTTAGTAGTTTAGAAAGTGTATATCTTGACTTTCTGCCAAATATTATGTTCAACAAGGTTAACTGGAGGGTTTAGATTTAAAAACACCATCTCACTGAACCAAGCCCCCTCCTGCCGCAAATCACTTCAAAACAGGACAAGCTCAGTTAACTCTCCCTCCATCTACACACTGGTCAACCTGTCAAAGGACTGCCAGAATAAAAATGTGTTTGCCTGCCAGAAGAAGGACCACAGAAAGGATGCCGACCTAGCCTTCCTCAGGAAAGCCTCTCTTGCATCCTTTCAGGTGTGCCTTCAGTGGGTCTCATGTGTCGTGCATGCGTGTCCATTGCATGTTCAGAGCTACCCCCAACACAGCTGTGAACTGGGAAGACTTTGCATGTTCTAGAGCTCTCTGGGAGCTTTGAGTTGAGATCAAGATGTAAAACCGCATTTCACTGGTCTGAGTCTCACTGTAGTTAATGGCCATAATCCTGTGAAGACATGTGCACAACAAAGAGAAACACTTGCACAATAAGAGCTTTGCTGGCCATTTCTGCCATTGCTAAGGAGACAAACTACATTCTGCAAACAGCCCCACAGAGCTTGGGCTGTTGGGCAATATAGAAATTACTTAAATTCGGAAGTAAACAAGATTTATCTCTTTGCCAGTGGAAGTTGCAGTGGCATTAATGGCAAATCTCAGACTGTGGCCTGGCTCACATATCCCGCACCCTGGTGTGCTCACATGATTAATTTGGCTTGTCATGGTGGATTTAGGCTCAGGTCTTTAAACAGAGATCATGCTCCCATAGGATTGCTTTACAGATGCTGGGAATGAGGAATGGTTTTTTTAAAATGCCACTATCTCTTGCAGTGCATAAAAAGTTACCTTACTAGGAAATCCAGTTGTACCTGTTAGCCGAGGACTGGAATCTGATTTACATACTTCTTCAGCTGCAGACCAGTTAAAACCAACCAGTTTCCTCATCTCAGGGAGGGTGTTGATGCTTCTCAGTGCCGCATCAACACTGGCATGATGTTTCCCACAGTGAGGCGGGTTCACGTTCATTCCTCCTGCAGTGCTGAGAAAGGGCTGTGTAGGTGCAGTGTGCAGCTGCCGCCACATGGGGGCCTCGCTGAGTAAATTGTCCCCAGTCTTCTCATGGAGTGCATTTGAGGATTTTGTGCAGTTCAGAAGTTTCCTTACTCCCCCAGCAACACTGACTTCCCCCGTTTCTGTATTTTCTTGTATTTGAATTTCCTTGACGTGAAGGTTGTTACCTGCTTCTTGTGCTGGTGTGGCTAGAAAGCCTACATTCCAACCAGTATGAGCTGGGCTTAAGAAGAAGAAATGTGAAGGTGATTTCAAAAGAAAAAGAATGCTTCCACCAAACCAGTAATAAGAGCAACTACTTTCACATACATTTGATTTTAAAATATTTATTTCTTAACTGGCTTTCCTATGCCAGTCTGCATGATAGGGGCTCCTAATAGTTAAATGATGACTGTCACATAACTAATGAGTAGATAAGTTTAACAAGACAGAGTACGATCATCATGACTTGCCTAGAATTACGTAAGTTGTTCTACAGACATAAAGAGCAAATAATTAGACATTTCCACCTTGCTGCACTTTCTCGATGACTTCATGTGCCAGTGTGGTAAGATGGCCCTTCTGTCATCAGCGGCCTTGTGTGGAAAAAAGCACTGAGAGGGTATATACGAACTCTCTGTTGTTAGGCCAGAATCTCTAAAAGTTGTGGGTATCATGGGAACTTCCAGGAGCTCTTCCTTTAGCTCGCTGCTCTGAGATCTCTCAGGGAAGCTGGTTTGTCGGTTTGGTGCCTCCTCTTGGGCGGTATCCTGCTTTCTGTGCTGCTGGAGGCATTTCCAGGACCAAAGCTGAAGAAAACCATAAAGCAAGAGAGCCACAAAGCAGAAGAGCAAAAGACCACCTACTACCCACATGGAGGTGGTGGACTCTTGCTTGGAGCCACCGAAGAGAGGCGAGTGCTTTTTTAGGGTGTGGAAGGTTGTACAGTGCTGGCTGGATGGGTATGAGTTTTTGCACATGACACACAAGATATAGAGGGTGGAAGGAATAAGTCGGTGGAGAACAAGGGAGCTGGAGGAATGCAAATCCCTCTCTTCATAGTGGACGTTTTGGTGCAGGTAGCCTGCAAACACGCTGTTCCAGTTGTGTCTGTACATGACATGGTAATAGTTCTCAGGGCAAGGATAGTCCATGGACCATGACACAGTAGCACTTGTATGGGAGATGTTGTGGACTTTTATATTCATTGTGTCCCTGAAAACAGAAACGAGAACATTTGCCATGCCTTTACTTCTAAAAGAGCTGCTTGCAAGCTTGTCAGACAACTTGAGAGCCCTTAAATCACCTTCCTTTTCATGTTCATGTTCTTAATGACATACTTACACTCTAGCAGTGATTTAGAGACTTGCAGCCAGAGGCTACTTTTCCTGGAAAAGACTGTAACAGAAAAAAGAAAAACAGAATCGTAAGCATTGTGCTTCCTGCAGCTAAGCAATATGGCAGGCAGGCTGTACCAGTGGAAATGGGATCCCTGCACAGAGTTGTCCCCGTTACTTGCTCCTTCTCATGACATCGCAATGCTATGGGTGTTTCCCTGCCCCTGACAGAGCAGGCAGAATGTGCAGCAGGGACGGAAAGGTGCAGCATAGTGACATCATGAGATGGGGAAAATTTGTCTTTTTTCAATGGCAGTCTCCTCAAATGGGATGATGTATTTTTAAGAAAAACTTGCTATACAAAACCAAGGTCAAGTATGTAAAAATCAGTGCCCTTCAGACAGCTTCCTGACCATTGGCAGTGCTAGCTGGAGCTGCTGGGAGTTGAAGTTCAAAACATCTGGAAGAAACCTCCTGCAAGAGGAATGCTCTGCTCACACCAGAAAAATACCTGGCCAAACTTGCACTGGTTTTGGGTTGAGGAAAAGAAATCATGATGAATGGGATCAGGTTCAGAACTGTGTATCATATTCCTGGAGACTTTCTGTGGACAAATGTATCCACAACAAAAGCAAGAAGGGGACTATGTTAATAAACCTGTATAACCCTTAAACATTTTTATTTTAAGTAGAGATGTTTTCCTTGCTTGTTTTAAAAAGCACACATATAGCATTAGATTCCTTATCAGATGCTTTATTATGAAAGAAAATCTCTTTCCGTGTGGTTTTCAGTGACAGAGATCTTACTTTCATAGTATTTTAAATTCTCTGTGTATTTTGATTGTTTAACTTACTGCTTTTTACACATTTCCCTAAGTCCCTATAGACCATACAGGTGCAGAACTTGTGTGCCTGTGAAGGTGTTGCAGTTCATTTCAATGTGTGAAGCCCGTCTAAGCACGCATTATTTTGCTGCTCTAGATCTGGTCCCTGCATTGAAATAGATGGGGCAGCCCACATGTGCATGCAAGTGACAGTCCATGTGGGGCTCTTGGATGGAGTAACTGTAGACATAACCTCTTTACCGTATCAGGAATAATCTTTCCTGAATTGTAATAAAATAATTGGAATGAAATGTTTTAATGAGAGATGATGGAATCTCCTTCCTCCTGTAGAAAAGACTGAACAGAGGATCGGTTGTAGTTAGCAAAGGCTGGGACAGGAGGTCTAGCTTGATAACATACTAGAATCATTCCATTTCTGTAAATATGCTAATAGACAATTGAAATACACAGCCCCATACTTATTTGTGTGAGATTTACTTCTGAATCACCATGCATAAGATGGCATTGTCCAAAACCAAATGTTGTATTTTATATAAACAGAATGTATAAGGGAGAAGAGGGGAGAAATGATTGGGGCAAGCAGGTGAGACAGGGAGCATTTGATTGGGAAGAACCTTTTCTTTAGAAAACTGATCTGAAAGTATAGCTGAAAGAAAAGGACTGACCACTCTTGCAGTGTGAACATACATTATAGGTCAATATGATGCTGCCATGAAATAAAAGCAAAATTAAAGCAATAGATAATAAAAACAAAATTTCTCTGCTGGATTATTTTAAAGAATTTTACCTTAATTCTTTTCTTGCACTGTGTTCAGTGAATTTTCAGGCACCAGGCAAACATCTCCTTTGATTATAGTCTTCTCTCCATAGCCCGAGTTGCCTTGTGATCACATTACCTGCTGTGTAAATCAGTTCCCATCCACAGTTCGTGTTTTATACATCTCTCAGCTGTCATCACTTGCCTTAGCAACCAATAGGAGACAGTACTTGGGCATCATTAAGCAAATTGGCAAGAATGTCCTTAATATAGGTTCTGTTACTGTGGATGAATACTTGTCACTATATCTGTAATTGAACAGATGTAGACTTTTTTTTAGTTTTCCTCCGTTTTTCTTTGCTTTTTGATTTGGCAAAGCAATAGTCAGTGTAGTTAGTCAGCAAAGGAAGGAAAAAATAGCAAATTACTCACAGGCATGTCCTGATAACCATACTTGCATCAGAGGAATTGTAGGTTAAATAGATCGAAGTTTAAAAGGGATGAATTCCCTTAAAAGCAACAACCGTAAACCCATATACAAAATGTATGTGCTGACCACAAGAAAAATAAAAAAAGTATTTATCATTGTAATACCTTCATTAGGTCAGCTCAAATGTCATAAAAATTGTGCAACCTTTTCTGTTTTCAAACATTCTTCATCAGACAGGATTTTAAAGCAGGTGGGGTAGGTGGTGGGATACAGTTGATGCCCAAGCTAAGAAACCTGCAGGCAGGCATTGAGATTAAGACCTACCAAGCTCAGAGATGGTTCCTAGTTGTACCTGGGAGCCTTTCAAGGGTTGCAAGGAAGACAGAACAGCCAAACAATGGTTGATACCCATTTTGAACTTCTAAAATGCATCTGTTACTTTTTTTAAAAAAGTATACATCATTAAGGCAAACAGGTTTCTCAGAAGATGAAAAACAGAATAAGAGCAAGAACCTAGACCATTTTTATAGTATAGTAACATAGATGGGAATAATGTTTGTTTCTACTTTACCATCTTGCCTTGATAATGAAGAGTTCTTCAGAATTCAGAGTATTTTCTGAACTTTGAAATCATGAGAATATGGATTTTGGAAATGTTATTTTGGCCAATGTGACTGCCTTTGCTTTTGGTACGATGTAGAAAATGAGAAATTTAGCCACTTGCCAGTGATGTAGAAAATGAGAAATTTAGCCACTTGCCAGTGATGTAGAAAATAAGAAATTTAGCCACTTGCCAGTGAGATCTTGCATAGGAGGAAGATGATCTCATAGCATCTGGACTAAATACAATTTAGTCAATTAATTATAGCACCTGAAGCTGGTACTTAATTCTGTGCAGGCCCATCCTCTTCAGCTTCTTGGTGAAGCTGCCCTTTTCTTCTTTTTAACCTAACACACCATCTAAAATTATCTCCAGCTTTGTTTGCGGCAGGATGGCAGACTACGCAGGCACAGTCTTCCTCACTTATTGAAATGTGCTGTATTTCTATTTAAATTATCATCACTTTTAAATTTGCATCCATGCATATAAAGCAGCATGTGCACATTCTATGCAGATCTGTGTCCCGTTTTGTATTTCCCCTTTTTGGTGATGTGTAACCAAGCACAGTGTTCCCAGAAAAGTGTGTACATTGAATTTCAGCTTCAAAGCCTTTTCCAGGAAAGGCAAGACATTATGCTTTCTGTATTTGAAAGGCATGTGAAAATTCAAGATTCCAGGAACTTCTAGGTTCTTCAGGACTGTGAGGGAACCGCATGTATCCACAAAGTGGTTACTTTCTGTTCTGTGACTTAATAAGAGAGATGAATTCAGGCAGCAAAAAGGAGCTGCCAGAACTCCCATGTAGAATGTGTCAATTCACAGCCACCCCACCCTTTCTTTTCAGTTAATGCAGCCTTACCTTTCTGTGAATCCTCCTTTAAATGTGAATTAGTTGCTAGAGTCCTCTAGCCATTCTCTTCATCTTCATGATAGATAATAGAACAGATTCCTGGGCATCCATCTTTTCTTCATTGTTGCATCTAGCATTACGAAATTCATGCTCTATTTTCTTGACTCCCAAAATACCAGCCTGTCATTATGTGTTCTAGTACTTTAAAATATGATTCTCCATTAAGCATATTAGTGGACACACGTCTTACCATTATACTCAGTTGTCTTTATTCACTTATGTGAATAAAGTAACAGTTACATGCACATTGTGCACTTTGATCAGAATGCACTTGGCAGGGACACTGAGGCCTGTTCAGTCTTCTGAAATGTGAGAGGTTGTGTCAGTCTTCCAGGCAGCTGCAGCTTTCATCCTTTGTGGACATGAAAACTGGCAGCATCTCTAGAAACTCCAGAGAAGAGTTGAGCTTGCTGAGGTGTCACTCAGGTTGAAGCCCCGCCCCTGGAGGGTAGAAGAGAAACATCTGGGCTACAAAGGAGGGCTGATGATAGGCTGAAATTCCTATCAGTTCATAGGTTTTGTTAGGACAGCTATTATGGTCACTCCCTGCTTAAAAATTGCTGCTTAGCTTGAGGAGCACAGGCAGATCTTGGTTCCTAATATAAAGATGCAATCTCAGATATGAAGTGGGATATACACGGTTTAAATAAATAAAGCCACATGTGAGCTGTGCTCTTTGCAGTGGACAAGTGGGAGAGCCTTGTTTACATTCATTATCCTAAATTATTTTAGCAAACTCGCGCTTCATGTGCACTGCTTTAGGAAAAACATTTTATACCTGAAGCTATCCAGGATTTATTTTGTGATGCTTATTGATGTCATAACAATTTTAACTTTAAACTGATGGAAAGTGAGTTGGGTATGCACCTTTTCTCCTGGGATTTTTAATGATGTGATTCTGCCCTTGTCAGAGCAGGCATTGAAAATATCAAGCCTAGATTAAAATTATTTGAGGGCTCTATTCAAGAGTGATCCTGGCTTAATTTCATCCCTTCTTTCTCATTCTGAACGAGAATTTCAAAGGTTAACTGCAGTGACAATATAGTCCATATGTTTCCAATTATCTAAAGAGACAATTAGAACTTGCCAGAAACTGTCTGAACTTATATAGAATTGCTCCCTAAGCTTTTTTTTTTTTTTTTTAATCTTAATCAGAAGACTCCTGGGATTTTACCCCAGACTGGCTATCCATTTGCCAAGGCTTCTGTGCCAAGCCCAAGTCTGGAGCTTGCTGAAAAAGCCACGGAGAAAGAGAATTCTCAGGGGAAGTATTTGGATATTGCAACCAGTGCAATATTCACTGCTCAGGCTCATGGCCATACAGCTTTTTCACAGGCCGTAGCAATGATTTCTTTAGATTACCTTTTGTTCCAATGACAATTTTTCTCCTGTTTTTCCCAGCCACTGAACATTGCTTACAGTCATATCTATAGCTCATACCGGAACTTCGTGGGGCCTCCACATTTCAAGACAATCTGCCGATTACTCGGATACCAAGGGATTGCTGTGGTGATGGAAGAACTGCTGAAGATCGTCAAGAGCCTGGTAATGATAAGATGTGAAATCTGGGGTGTGGTTCAGGCTGGGAAGTCAAACAGCTTTGGCTGGAATATGATGTCTGAAATACAGATTATTTTGGAGCAAGTATTTAGAATAGGATTTCCATGGCAATTAGAATAACATGCATTCAGAATATGTGAAGGAACGTGATAGGTGGAAGAGCATGCATTCAGAGGAACTTGGCATTCCGATGCCTGTTTCGGCTTGGCAGAGTATCTCCCTGTGGAGATGAGGGCCAGCTCTCTCCAGATGCAGCAGTTCCAGTTAGCTAGTTTGCCTTCTGAGGATGAGGAGGAGTTGGGGTTGGTAACCCAGCTCAGTCAGGGCTGTCCACCAAGTGAGGCTACTCAGGCAGCATCTGAGAAGCAAAGCCTCTTGGGAAAAGGGGGACACGGTAGAACAAGGAAGGCTGGAGAAGTTTGGGGAGTTCTAACACTAACTCTGGGGAAAGGTGACAGGCTAAATAAACCCAGGAGGTCATGTCAGGCATTCCTGTCACCTGGCCCCCAAGCAGTGTGAGGTGGAGCCAAGACCTTGCAGGAAAGGAGGGAAGGAAGGGATTATTTCAGTTTGGATTCAGCTGCTCACATGTGGGCATCAGCTACATCCACTGTAATTTGATTTACACTGCTTGTAAACCTGTTGAGCTTCAATAAAGGACTCATCTGTGGGAAAGGCAGAAGAGGGAGAGACGTGCTTATGACATCCATTGAAAATACTGGATTCTGGATTCTTACTGAGTTGTCTTGCATCTGCATGAGAGAGTTGATTTGGACTACTGCTATTCCTATGGTCTCTGACCATGGGCTGTGCTGGCTGTCGCTGACAGGAGTTGTAGTCTAAAACATCTGGTGGAAAAGTTGCATTCCCATCCAGAGTCCCCTGAAGATTGGTTCGGAATAGAGCATCAGGTTGACACTGTTGTGAATCATTTTCATGAATATATCCACTGGAGGAAACGGTTGCCACTAGTAAGGAAGCAAGCAAAAATGTTCCACATACGGAAATGGGCAGATACCTTTCTTAAAGCATTTAACAGGGGCACCGTGCACATTTCAGAGTGTTCTCCTAGGTATTGTGTGCCTTCTTAGTCCCCCACCAAATAGCAGACAGACATCCATGTTTGAAAATGGACTTTAATTTCTAAATATTTGTGACATGGCACAAAAGGGGAAAGCTCATTTTTAAATGAGCACACTTAAAAGTATTTGTCGTTCGGGCTTATTTCTTTGCTGGCTTTTGATGCAGATCTCAGGGCAGGTCACACGGGTCATAAAGTGCAAGGAGCCTCTTCAGACACTCAGTTGGCGCCATCTCTTAACCTGGGAGGTGCCGTGTGCGGAGTTTTGGCAGCACTCGGGAGCAGCCAGAAGTGCTGCAGCTTCCAGTGGATGGCAGGGGGCCACACAACTGCAGCCTTAAGCCACCCCATCCCAGAGTCCTCTCCAGAGGCATTCAGAAGCAGCAGGAACTCTAAAGGTTCCTAAAGCCCAGTCACAGACCTTATCAGCCTCTCAGACCTTGAACTCGGGAGACGCATGGGAAGAGTTGCATCTGGCTGCATGACTGAAGCTCAGTGTTACACTGGAGAGAAGATCTCATTATCCTGCATTTAAAAAAAATATTTGTGAAACCAAATGGAAATTTTGCATACAGTAAGACCAACGCTGTTGCACTACCCTATTCTGTACAACAATTAACGATTGTCCTTTTTCTGGATTTCTAGGATAAGATCTTGTGTAAGCTAAGATAAGGATAAGATAAGTGTGTAAGCATTTACACACTTACGGAAGTGTTCTAGGTTTCATAGGCAACAGTCCAAAAATTGTTACCAGTACATTTTCTGTATAGTCATGCATTTTATAAATAACTAACAGAGCCATTTTTATGCATGTCTATTCAAAAGCCATCTTGAGATTTTGTAATAAATTGATGGTATATAAAAACTTTAAATAAATAAATAAATAAAAGCAAGTCCCATTTAGTGGGCATATGATCGCAGCCCAAGTAAGGTTATTGAAAAATGAAGCTTGCTTGTTTATTTATTTAAAGTTTTTATATGCCGTCCCCTTGCTATATAGCCTCGGGACGGCTCACAGAAATAAATAAATACAATATAAATAACAGTAACAAAACCCAGAAACACCCTGGCTGCACAATTAAAAACCTATAAACAGTGTTAAAATATTGCTTAAATAAAAAGGTCTTGGCCTGGCGCTGAAAAACAAATAACGATGGCACCAGGCGGACCTCTCTGGGGAGTGCATTCCACAGATGGGGCACCACCGCAGAGAAAGCCCTCCTACTTTGCTTCCTAATATCACTCACGGAAGGCTCCCAGAGAAGAACCTCTGCTGCCGATTTCAGGGGGCGGGAGGGCAAATATGGACGCAGGCGTTCCTTTAGGTATCCAGGTCCCAAGCCGTTAAGGGCTTTATAGGTGATTACCAACACCTTGAATTGCACCCGGACTTCGATGGGAAGCCAGTGAAGCTGGTAGAGGACTGGGGTTATATGAGAATAACGCCCAGTCATCGTCAGCAACCTGGCTGCTCTGTTTTGCACCATCTGAAGTATCTGGACTGTCTTCAAGGGCAGCCCCACGTAGAGCACGTTACAGAAATCCAACCGGGAAGTAACCAATGCATGCATCACTGTCGCTAGGCAGTCGTCCTCCAGGTAGGGGCGGAGCTGATGGATTAGCCGAAGCTGATGGAAAGCGCTTCTTGCCACCACCGATACTTGAACTTCCAAAGTCAGCTCAGGGTCGAGGAGCACTCCCAAGCTGCGGACCCTGTCCTTTAGAGGGAGTGCAACCCCATTCAGGACAAGATCCAAGTCACCTACCAAGGAGTTCAAACCACCTACCAGCAGGACCTCCGTCTTGTCTGGATTGAGCTTCAGTTTATTGGCCC